CTTTATCTATCATCATCATCACCCTAACGTTAATATGGTTGCTTCGTTCAGGGCCCAGAGTCGGCTATATACCGACGGATTATTCAATCAATAATTTTTCTTCTTTTTCAATCCTGATGAATACCGAATAATAATTGATTTAGTAAAGCATTAATTACCATTCATTTCAATTAGTCAAAAAACATGCAATTTAAAAACGTAAAAAGAAATAAAGCCTTTTTGGGCACAAGTGATAGCACAAAAGTTTTAACGAATTAAACAACACAAAAAATAGAGAAAAGCGATAACAAACTAAAAACAGTGTGCGTTATCCAGGGGAGATGTTGTCAAAAATGGTCGTTTGAATCTTATAAATAATTAGTTGTGCGGCTTCTGTAATTGTTGCGCACATTTTTAAATTTGTTGAGCTTATAGTTTTTTTAATTATTTTACAAAAACATATCCTGCTGGGGTAACGTTACCCCAGCCAGATCTTTTTCTTTCATGGGAATATTTAAATAATTACTAGCTATAAAATTAGTTGTCTAGATGAAGTAAATGTTGTGCCTTATTTTGTATTTGTTCTTTCATTGGTTTTGAAGTTATTCCGAGATTTGGCTGGGGTAACGTTTTTGGTATTGCTAGATCTTTGAAATGGTTAAGCGGATCCTTATCATATTTTGTATATGGCTTCTTAGGAATTAGATTAAATGATGTTCAGCGATTAAAAAAAAAAACAAATTAATACATAGCTTAAAGGTACATTACATTAAATAGAAAAATAAATTCAATTGGTCCCAGCACTCTCAATAAGAGCTCTAAGGCCTGGGTAACGCACACCTAAAAACAGGAGTAACTATTATGTAAAATGGTGGTAAAAAAGTAATTAAAAAAAAAATATTTTACATATTATACCTATTATGATTTAAAAATAAAATAAAACAATGGAAAAACGCTTCATTGTTACTCAATGTTTTGTAGTTTGTAGCTATTTTTTCATCAAATTTTGCTTTAATTAATTTATCATTTCATGTACACCATACAGCAGACAATATTACAGAGGACAACACATTACAAGCATGAGGTACATAAGTACTGCATATCCCTTTAGGGATTTTATGATTGATCAATCGATTCACAATAATATACAGCAGTTGGATACAACATTCCGACACCAATCAAGCATCTAATTAAAAGTAATAACATTTATTTAAAAAGCTAACCAATCACCATGGTAAGGTGGATGTTTCAGCAGCGATGTGACATCGTCAGGGTACATGACAGCCCCCTCGAACTGCTTCACATACTCTGCATCTGGCATCCATCTGTGTGCATTACGCTGGCTGCTAAAATCAAAGAAACAGTTATTTATATGATACTAGTGGACCCTACGACCTTAGATTTTTTTTTACATAATAATCTCCACCTAATAACCAAAAAGCTAACAAAAATAGAATTAGCTAAATCGGTTCAGCTGTTTCTGAGATTTGTGCTTAGGAACACATTCAGTAATTCATTTTCATATACAGGGCGTCCCTGAAGTCGACGATCAAATGACACCAGATGATCGGCAAGGTTCTGACAGTTATCATAAAAACATTTAAAAAATTCCAAGTCAGAAAGTTTTTAAATTATAATGACTTATGTGTTATCCTCGAAAAACCCTGGCCCAGTCGTTTGATTCTTGTTGCTACAATTCTTTATGTTTTCGTAGTTTTGCTTACCTGAATAGTGCTTCAGTATTATGGAATCATGGATTCTGAGCAGTTGGCTCAGAATTCATGATTCCATAATACTGGATAATAATTGCATACGAAGGTGCGCTTTGGGTACACTAGAATAAATTTTATTAAGTCCAATAAAATTGTTCAAACCGGAGTTTGTTGGAAAAAAAATTTTGTGTCAAATTTATTAAATGCGTCAACTTTGGTGAAATTTGCCACTACTTGCGCATAACATTTTCTTTCAGTACAGTCACTTCAAGTAAGGTGAAACATAAATTAAGAACACTTGGTTCGTCAAAAAACGACATTCTTTTCGAAACTAAAGCAGTTGGCTCAGAATTTATGATTCCATAATACTGAAGCACTATTCAGGATAACATAAGCAAAAATACAGATAAAAAAATAAAGAATTGTAGCAACAAGTCGAAAGACTGGCACAGGGTGTAGTTTTTGTGGATAACACATATAAGTCATTGTAATTTAAAAACTTTGATTTGGAATTTTTTTAATATTTGTCTGATAATTTAGACTTGGAATTTTTTTAATATTTGTCTGATAACTCTAGTAACTGTGCCGATCACCTGGTACCATTTGATCATCGACTTCAAGGACAACCTGTATATAGTAGAATAAAATATAAGTCATTCTAATCTCATTATCCTGAATGAAGACTTCTTATGTGGAGAAGGAATGAACATTAACATTTAAACGTTGCCCCACAGTAGGATTTTCTACTGTGTCAGGGGTGCTTTCACAAACATACAAGTTCACATACACATCACACCCAGACCCGGCACAACAATTTGTGGATCACACAAATAGTTACTGTGTGTGAGAATTAAACTTAAGTAGTTAATTGATTTAACACAAATCGTTAATTTGGTTTATAAGAGTTAATAACAATCAAAAGAATTTATAATAAGATTCCCAATGAAATAATTCAATAAACTAATATTACTCAGGTGAACAATTCCATAATTTTAATTGAGATCATTTTGACATACTTTAATTTTATTATTATTGTACTAAATTCATTTCAATTGTAATATTCTAATAATGTTTCTAATATATTTGTATATCTATTACAGCAAGACATAATGGACCATCTTTATATGTAAGACCTTATTTTGTAAACTACCTATTTTAATAAACAAATGAATCTGATTCTGAATCAAAAATAGTATTCTAGTATTTTCCACGCTTTTTATAGCTACATATAAAACATGACTGGTTAGGTCAGTAAATATCGAAAGATTTAGATAATCTGTCTTGTATGTTTGTTATACTAGCTATCTGTTATAATTATAGGTACTATGCCTCCACCAATATGAACCCAATAACCCAATTCTAATGTTATTGATATTACATTTTAGTGTTTTGTTGAACTTCAGAACGAATGTAGTTACGCGTAAAATATATTAATTGACGATTTTAATTCTATGTTATTTTATTAGTTCGTGAATAGTACTATACACACTCTAACTACTAAATTTAACAGCAATATACTTACGTAATGTTTACAATTATTTAACCTCAAATGTTACATAATGTTTAAATCATAATTACACCATAATTATAATTGAAATCGATGTTTTACGACAATAAGCACTCACTTTACATTATAAAGGGCTGGTAAATTCTTTGTTAAGGCCGCTTTTTGGCCCAAATTTGCGGATTTTCGCAGCAAAACACTGAACATAGAGGCCATTTTTGACGGTACTGCATTCCGTTCCAAAATGAATGAGATTGTAATCAAGTAATCAGTTTGATAAGAAATTCGTTCGAGAACTAAAAAAACTGTAATCTTTTGAAATGTAAATGAATTTAAAATTTAAATTATTGCTTAATAGATCATATAAAGTTAGTATAAATTGAAATCTGTATCGGAATTTTTGTTAGACTGATTTAATGAAAATAAAATACGCAAGTTCTTCATTTCAATTAGGTTCGTGTAAAGGATCTCAAACGTCAATTTTTTTTCTTTTTTCTCTTTGGCAACTTATTCAAACAGCCTACTGGCCTGTCCTGTCTTTACATCAGGGCTTAACTCGGAACAATAACAAGAGGGCTTAAATACCCAGAAAACAAAATAAAAAATCCTGTGTATTTCTTTAAAAAATTCAGAGATTCTAGAGTAGTAGCATGTTTTGTGGTGCACTGCTGGATATAATCCCTCCTTCTTAAAAACATCTAAACTCAGGGGTTCAAAAGAAAACACACTTACACACAGAGAAATAAGCTTCAAAATTATTTAACAATAATTTATTGCTTAAAAATTAAAAAAAAGAAATGTACATGGGAATCTACATTGACATTTTACACTATTAAAGTTTCTCTTAGCTAAAATTAGGTTATTACGGAAAATACCGAAAGTCGTAAATTAACAAAACATAGATTTCGAAAAAAAATCAACTTGAATTAGTCCACAAATATATATACATAATTAAATTATATCTTGTAAGAAAGAGACGTAGGATATATGGCATGACGTCATCGCCGTTATAATGAGATTATGACCTCCGAGTTAGTTTCGGCTTCTTCTCAGAGTAGACCGATAGGAAATGCAGAAATCTAGTAATTGGGTAGTTTCAAGGGTAACAAAATTAAAAATCTAATTAGTCCGTCAGTTAGATAATGAAAAAATATTAGACACGTATTTTTTATTTTCTCATATTAAGTTGCAATATTTAGATAAAATGGCGCTAAGTTTAGGAGTGGGTCGTCGTTACGTCATAACGTGCTACAAAATGTGGCACGCTGTGACGTCACCCAATATTTCAGATTAATATATCGTCGAAAGTATTGAATTAAGGTACCAGACGGACATTAAAAAAAGTTTAGGTAACTACCATATTTACAGATTGACGTGTAAAAGTGTTACTTTGTTACCCATTTACAGAAATAAATATGATTTATTATTTACAAAGTCCACATGTACGAGTGACACAACAAGATGTCTGCATCTCACTCACACAGTTCATTTATAAACTAGACCACCATTTTAAAACATAAATCAGAACTAATATTATAAATGCGAAAAACGTTTGTTTGTTTGGTGTTATATTTATAGCCTTCCTCAGTAAATGGGCTATGCGACATGAAAAGAATTATTCAATTTGATCTAGTATTTAAGGAGCTTAGCGCGGACAAACAAACAAACTCTTCAGCTTTATAATATTAGTATACATTATGATGATGAAAACCCGGAACTTAGCACCAAACGATCAATAAACCCGGGACATTTACGAAATTCGGTATTTTCTGATAAAACCGGTATTTTGTACTAAAAATCGGCGATTATCGGTCAATTTCTCCAAAGACCACGTCGAGGGTGCCGATGATAGCAACGATATCTGCTAACATGGAGTTTTTGCCGACTTTCTCTAGAGCAGCCAGGTGAGCGAAGCCGGGCGCCTTGATCTTGCATCTGTGGACAACAAAAGTAAGCCATATAATATTATGGGGTACGCCGGCAAACGAGCACACAGATAAGGGGGCATCCATAAATTACGCGAGGTGTTTTTAATTGTCTGTCCCACCCTCCCCCTTGGTGAGATTTCGTGAGATTTTATTTAACACCCTCCCCCATACCCCACACTCACGTGAGATTTGTCAAAATGTTGGTTTTTAACATAAACGCGTTGGATTGTTATTGCAAAAAGAAAAAAATTCATGTACATACATATACAATTAAATCTTAAGCATGTACAATTTGGAATAAATGAACTATGAAGTCGGCAAAATAGTATAACTTTTTTTTATTTCTATCAGAAAAAAAATTACGTGATGTTTGCCGAGAGCGCCCTCTCTCCAACGTAAGATTAGATGAGATTTGATTCTACCCCCTCCCCCCCTTAAACATTAGAATCACTTAATTTATTAAACGCCGCCCCCTAACCTGATGGTAAGCAATCAGCGTCGCCCATGGACACTCGCAACACTAGAGGACTTACAAATACATCGTCGGCTTTTTGGGGGGATAGGGTTTATAGTAATTGGGGATTGGATCATTGGAGATCGGAGGGGGGAAGGATTGCCCTCCACTGCACACCCTAACACGGCATGTCGCAACGCTGTGTTATGTGTCACTGTGAGTTGGTGCTATCAATCTGGTCGAGCCGGCCCATCGTGAAAGCTACCTTCAGAAAAGTGTCTCATTACCTGTAAGGCTTGGATCCTCCGTCAGAGACGAGGTAGATCCCGAACTCTCCCTTCGGAGCCTCTACAGCGGTGTACGTGGACCCTGGGGGCACCTGGTAGCCTTGCGTGAACAACTTGAAGTGGTGGATGAGGGCCTCCATTGACGTCTGGAATGAGAAAATATAATTTTAATTCTTTTATAAACTAGGACTTTAACCCCCCTTTTTATAGGTTAACTAGCGACTAGCCCCCGCTTCGCACGGGTGCAATATGCATGTATTATACATATAAACCTTCCTTAAGAATCACTCTATCTATTAAAAAAATCGCAGCATCAAAATACGTTGCGCAGTTTTAAAGATCTAAGCATACATAGGGACAGACAGAAAGCGGATAGCGACTTTGTTTTATACTATGTAGTGATTAATACACTAAAACCTTCTCCTAGGTGTAATAAATACTTTTCTGGAAACCGCATCAAAATCGGCACAGCTAATCGCGAGATAGTCGCGCACAAACATACATACATATATACATACAACATACATACAAACTGAGAACCTACTTTTCTTTGAAATCATTTAATAAGGACACGTACATACGCACATACATACATTCATTCATTCATAAAAAAAATTTAACCCTTTGAAATTCATCCCCTAAATTTGTTTATACAAAAGTAGTCTCTAAACATTGGAAATAAGGTCTATAATGTAGTTAGTGGAGAGCGGTCATCAGTGACCGCTGGGGATACATGGGTTAAGGGGGGAAAATCATCCAATGACTTCTCCCGCCTAGGTGAGGCGGGAGGGAGTGTCAGACTCTTACTGACTAAAAACCACCTCGTTCATACTCCTGTACTTCGAGCCGGAGCCACGGTACCCCGTTAGGTCCTCCGCGACTCCGATACATACATTCATTGCTTGAAATAATTTAGTCAACTCTATTCCATTTTTCAGTCATCCAGACTAGATATTATATCATCATAAATCTGAAGGCATACCTTCATCTCCTCGCGCGAGGGTGGCGTGAGCTTGGCATCGTCCGTCTTGACCTCCCCGGGGGGCATCTGGTTGAGGCACTGGTCGATGATGCGGAGCGACTGACGCATCTCCTCCACGCGGCACAGGTATCTAGAATAATAGAAGAGGATTATGAATATTTAGGGGTTTTATTTAAAAATGGAGAAATTAGAAGTGTCTAAGTCAAAGTCAAAGCATTTATTTCAATTAAACCATAGTTTGGTACTTTTGAAACGTCAACAAATACAAAATAAATAATAGTCTGTCAGTCAGTCCGTCAGTGAAACTAGGTGCTCATTCCAAAAAGTAGATTCGAATGGAGAAGAACGAGCAAGAAACTCCATTCGTAACTCTTTTTAAAAAAGTATGTTCTACGATGTCTCTGATATATATTTCAATACTGTACGCATATGTAAGAACAATGCTAAGACACGCTTGACGCATAAAACTAAAATAAAAAATAAAAAAAATTTTAAAGTCCAACATGTTGCTCACATATGCATACTGACAATCTAAATATGGAATTCACAGATGAAAACAGATTGTAATGTAAAATTATAAATATTTTGAAACAGTTTTATTTAGTTTGCCCTGTTTGTTTATTGGGGTCAAATTCAGTAATTGGAATTCTACCCCCTTCCCGACGACAGATCGATCTGATATTTGGTACACACTCTTAATATTAATGACCATACAATATTATCTAATTGTTTCCACAACTACCTCCACTATTGATATCAAACGTAAAGGCTTAGTATTGGTATCTATACCTACATATAATAAAATCGTAGGAAAGTGAAAACTGTACATCAAATACATTTTTAAAAGAATGCTTTGGGCGTGATCTACAGTCGATATAGAAACCAAAAATACGGTTATTAAAATTTTTGTCTGTTTGTCTGTATGTACGTCCGGGATGAACTCTTAAAGTGCTACACGGATTTACCTAAAATTTTGTAATATACAGGCTACATATTATCATGCTAACATCTACGGGAGAGGAGCTGTGAATCACTATTCCACGCGGACAAAGTCTGCGACTAGCTGTGCCCGCAGCTAGTTGCTAGAATAGAGCTCATTAAAACCATTAAACATAAAAAATGTCTGTGTTATAAAAAAACCTTACTAATATTATAAATAGGAAAGTGAGTTTGTTTGTTTGTTCCACCTTCAGGCCGTAACTACTAAACCGATCGCTTTGAATTTTTGCAGACGTGAAGTCTGGATTAAATAATAGGGTACTTTAAATCCCGGAAAAATTTGAAATTCTCGAGAGAAAACGAAATTATTGGTTTAGATGGCGCTGTGTGTATTGGTATATATCACATAGGCCACTTTTTATCCTTTTGTGACGCGAGCGAAGCTGCGGGTAAAAGCTAGTGTTTCATATTTACCTGTCATAGCAGTCCCCGTTGGTACCAATAGGTACGTCGAAGTCTACCAGATGGTACGCGTCGTACGGCTGCGACTTGCGCAGGTCCCATTTGATGCCCGACCCGCGGAGCATCACACCGCTGGAGACAATGTAAATATGCATAATTAAAACATTAATATACTGTTAAAACATGTCATAGTTTGTTAGGTTTTTTTTTCTATCATCTGTATAATCAGGGGAAAGTAGAGGGATTTTTTATTTCTAAGGGGCGAACATCATCGAATTACTGCTCCCGCCTGGGTGAGGCGGGAGGGATTCAGACTCTTACTGACTAAAAACCACCCCGGTCCTTCTCCTGCACGTCGAGCCGAAGCCCCGGTTACCCGTTAGGTTCTCCGCGACTTCGAATCGGCATCGACCCTGTTGGGCCTCATCTATGGTGGTCTGATGGCTCTTTGAGTACGCTCGGGTCTGTTTCTGGTCGGACGGGGAGCCACCCATGCTCGCCGTCCGCAGGCCCGCGAAAGTAGAGGGAGTCCAGCGCATCCCTCTACTTTCTTTATTTTGATCAAGTCAAATCGGCAATGGGAAACCCAGTGTCAGACTGCGCCAGACAATCCGCAAACAGAGAGAGATGGCGGGAGATCGTAAGGAATGCTGTATCGGCCTCCAACACAAATATAGCCGCCTCAACGTGACCACGACCGCTCTGCTAAGAGCGAAACGACAGAGAAGAGTATAATTGTGTATCTGTATTTATGTTTTTTTGTTATATTTAATTTACCCTTTTATTGCAAATTACCATCTATACAGATAAATACAATTTTTACTAACTTTTTACCAAAATAACATTTTATATTATTTTTTTTCTGCCGGCCTCGTTGGCCGAGTGGTCGCAAGTGCGACTACCGGGCTATTACTGGGTACCGATTAAAAGGTTTTAAGAAAATCTCAGTAGTAGCACGGAGTCTGGAAATATGTCCGGTATATGGCAATAGGCTCACCCCCTATTACATGGGACTCATAACATAAATAGTGAAAAGTGGGTGTTACCTCTGTGTGCACCTCTGCCTACCCCTTTGGGGATAAAAGGCGTGATGTTATGTTATATTTTTTTCTGTCTGTCTGTTTGTACTGGCTAATCTAGGTTAGGCGGTTACCTGAAGCCGTAATTGAGAGCATCCTGGGCGGTGACGACACCGATATCCTTAGTCCTCTGCACCCAGATCCTGTTGGTTGTCAGGACATCTTCCACCTCATCCAAACGCTCCGCGAATTTGGATGAAAACTCGTAGATGTCATCCATGAGACCTAATGGCATGTCCTGTGGGGAAAAGTATATTTTGTCAGTCATTGGGCGGATAGGTGAGATTAGAAGAAATAGCAGTTGGCACCAGTTACTAAAAGAAAACATTTTATATGCTAGACTAGACCTATAGTACATAAATCTATATATATATATATATATATATATAAATATGAAACCCGTTTCCCGTTGTCACGCCATAACTTTAGAATGGCTAGATCGATTTGGCTGATTTTCTTTTTGTTGTGTTTATTATTATCAGGAGAAGGATCTTATGACAGAAAAAAGTCCTGAAATCCTACGGGAACGGGATTGCGCGTACGAAGTCGCGGGCAGGAGCTAGTATAATATACGCAAGAATATCGTATTTTTTTATGGGATAAACTGGTAAGGCGGTAAATGAGCACACGGATCACCTGATGGTAAGCAATCGACGCCGCCCATGGACACCTGGAACACTAGAGGCGTTACAAGTGCGTTACCGGCCTTTTGAGGTTTGGGAATTCGAGAATTCTTAGGAATTCAGCGATTGGGGAGAGGGGGATTGTGTAAGGGGGGGGAGATAGCGGAAGGGGGAGGGGGAGATTGCGGAAGGGGGGGGGGGGATATTGCGGAAGGGGCGGGGGGAGATTGCGAAAGGGGGAGGGGTGATTGGGCCGCCGGTGGCCTCACTTATACTCATCATTCATTTATTTATTTATTGGGTAACTATGGTATTGAGGTGTGTAAAAGGTGCTTAGACCTTTGATGCATAAGATAGCATTGGACGTGCCGACTCAATTGAAGTAATAATAAAGTAACCACGGCCTCACAGGACGCCGGCGTGATACGACGCTTGCGTTGTAGGTAGCCGTATGAGTGAGGACAATGAGGACAAAGGAGGTCTAATTCCTCTTCTCCCCCATCCTAAAAGGGACGGTAACACACATGTAATTCGTCTGCCCAGTCTATCAAATATGTAGACCCATGAAGAAAGAGCATGGCTGGTGACAAATGTATTTTACTCCAAAACTACTTACAAGGGAAACTCCTCCCGGTCTAATATAGGCAGCGTGCATCCTGGCTCCGCTGACTCTTTCATAGAACTCCATCATTTTCTCTCGCTCCTCGAACAGCCAGAAGAAAGGAGTAAGGGCACCCACGTCAAGCGCGTGGGTACCAACTGCCATGATGTGGTTTAATAGACGAGTTATTTCAGCGAAGAGAGCTGTAAAAAAAGAATAAATATGTAAAATAACTTACATTATTTTTCTAGAGGTTTTTTTTGAAGGGGGAAAATCATCGAATGGCTGCTCCCGCCTGGGTGAAGTGGGAGGGAGTGTCAGACTCTTACTGACTAAAAACCACCCCGTTCCTATTCCAGCACTTCGAGCCGGAGCCCCGGTAACCCGTTAGGTTCTCCGCGACTCCGAATCGGCATCGGCCCTATTGGGCCCCATCTGTGGTGGTCTGATGGCTCTTTGAGGCGCGCGCGGAACGTGACGCGCTGTACGCTCGGGTTTGGTTACGGTCGGGTGGCGAAGGCGAGCTACCCATGCTCGCCGTCCTCCGGCCCGCGCTTACGGTGGCCGGAGATCGTCCCGCGATCCCCGACGCCCGGTGTGTCCTTCGCGATGGCTGGGTTGTGACGCGTCCCGCCTCCTCCTTAGCTATCATGACTACTTCGCCAAAGGAGGAGACGGCATCCCAGTCCCCCTCGCTCCGCATCATGGCCCGCACAAGGGCCGGACGCGAGAGGTCGCCATCGCCGATCACGTTTGTATTTTCAGTTTCTCAAAAATCTAATTATGCAATTTTGTTCCACAAATATCTTGGATTACAGATATCAAACGTAAAGATTGGCTGGTAGAATAGAACTTATGGAAACCGTTTCACATTAAACATATTTTTTTTATAAATTACTTGTTCTTGAAAAGCTATAGTACTTACTTCGAATATATTTAGCCCTCAGCGGTATATCAATGTTGAGCAACTTCTCAACGGCCAAGCTGTAGCATTGCTCATTACACATCATGGACACATAGTCCAGTCGGTCGAAGTAAGGCAGCGCCTGGGTGTACGTCTTGTATTCTATCAGCTTCTCCGTGCCCCGGTGGAGGAGGCCGATGTGAGGATCTGCTGCGCGGACCGTCTGGGAATTGAGAACATTAATAAATATTTTATTATATAACGCTGAAGAATTTGTCTGTTTGTTTGAACGCCCTAATATCAGGAAGTACAAGTCCGATTTGAAAAATTATTTTTGTGTTGGATAGCCCATTTATCGAGGAAGGCTATAGGCTAAAAAACATCACTCTACGATCAATAGGCGCCGAGCAGAGTGGGTATAACCGGGTGGAGGTAGCTAGTAGTATAATCGCGGGTTACTCACGTGAATATATTGAGAAAGTTCTACGCGAGTAGGCTGTGCGACATCCCCGCGAAACTAGTAGAGCTTTTCTCAGTATATTCACGAGAGTTATTATAATTTAGTATGTCTCACGATAGTTATTATAAAAACAGAGTATACGGTTGTTCATTGTCCTGAAACCATCTGCCTGATACGGCAGCCATTTAACAAATAATTATGTACAATAGCTTTTACCCGCGGCTTCGCTCGCGTCACAAAAGGATAAAGAGTAGCCTATGTGACATATACCAATACATACAGCGCCATCTATACCAATACTTTTGTTTTCCCTCGGGAATATCAAATTTTTTCGGGATAAAAAGTACCCTATTATTTAATCCAGACTACTAACTTTAAGTCTGCAAAAATTCAATGCAATCGGTTTAGTAGTTACGGCGTGAAGTCGGAACAAACAAACAAACAAACAAACAAACTCACTTTCCGATTTATAATATTAAGTAAGGATATATATATTAGTAAATTAGTAATATATTAGTAATATTAGTAATTAGTAATAATTCGTAATATTAGTAATTAGTAATATTAATAAAGAAGTAAGGATTGCTACTCACTTCTCCGTCCAGCTCAAGCACCAATCGCAACACTCCGTGAGCGGCCGGATGTTGAGGTCCGAAGTTGAGGACCATATTCTTCACTTGCTTCTCTCCGGGAGCCACCACACCTGTGGGGAGAGGATATTGACATCAAGAACCTGTGGCAGATGCCTCCTGGACTGGAGTAACCCTACAGCTTATTAATTCAAAGAAAAGATAGGAAAAACATAACATAACATCACGCCTTTTTATCCCCGATGGGGTAGGCAGAGATGTACAATACGGCACTTAATGCCACTGTACAATGTAAAACCCACTTTTCACTATTTATGTTATGAGCCCATGTAATAGGGGGTGAGCCTATTGCCTATAGGAAAAACACAGGGAGGCCAGGGAGTTTCTTTTTATATATTTTTTTATTTATGTATATTTGATGGGGCGACGTTTGACCAGTATCTCGCCTGGTGGTAAGCGATGATACGGTCTACAATCTAGCACGTCGTCCCATAAGCAACCTATTCACTCGGCCTTGAAGACATCCAGGTTCAAGTTTAGATATAGTCTAAGATCCGGCTGCAGAATCAGTGTACCCATCGAGTGTTTGCTGAAAACCAAATTTTTACACATATTCATGATTAGGAGAATTTATATCCACCAGGTTGCCTATCAAAATGTGGCCGCTAGTATTTTTAATTAAATTATTAATAATTCATAATCCGTAAGAAATTTCACTGACTTTTTTTTTCAATGAAATGTCGTCTACTTCACGGCAACATCTATAAAGACTCTGAAAAATTATGGTTGCCGTTGCGCACCTGGCCGCACCTCTTCGCAGCCAGGTATACACAGGTATGAATTTGTTACATTTATACACCCACAACGTACATTTATAATTTATATATCAAATTAAAGCAAATTTTTTTCTGTATATTATTATATACGGTTGCTTAATTAAATCTGGCCGCCAATAAGGGTTGCTGGCTAATAAATATAGTAAATATTAAAAGTAGAGTGAAAGAGAGCTAGCGCGTAACACCACTAGTCACTAGGTACGACTCAAAATAATAAATACTCCAAAAGAAACGTCTTTCTTTTCTAAAATAAAAAATTAAAAAGTCAACGACAAATTTAAAAATTACAAAAAAAAATGAATATTGATGATAAATAAAATCAAGGTTACTTATGTAAAAAAATTGTGTTGTACAAGTACTGTATGAAAAAAGATTTAATTTTATTCAAGTATTACATTTATTTTACATATTCATCAATCATCAGTTTTACCTTCAAGCGGGCGCGTAGTCATTTATAACGGGAGCAGGCGCGCGTAACCGAAAAGACCTATGGGATTAATAAGAGAAATAAAGCACTAAATAATTATTCAATATTTATTTATTTATTTGTACTCAGATTTATTATCATTGTCTTTACATCGTAATTTGTCAAAAAAAGTAATTATTTTCATGAAAAACAAACAATTATTAGATTAATTAACATAACTCAAACATTATACAAATCAAATCAAAAATTAGGAACACAAACCCCTTTTTATATATCTAAGACTAGTTTATATACCTTATCTAATAACAAAAATTACGAATTATGAATACTAATTAACTTTGGTTTGGTTTTTTTAAAATTATAAATTTTTAAAATGTATTATATTTGTATTATACTTCCATGACTCTTTTTTAAAAATCTGAATCATCGGAGCTCTCAGTCACACTATCATCGCAGCTATCACTTTCATCAGAAATATCGGTATCGTCGTTATTATCGGAAGGCTTGTTCGATTGATAATGATAATTTTAGATCATATTGATAATGATAATGATAGATTGATAATTTTTCGATGCACAAATAAAACAGCAATTTTTTTTTGATCCGTTGACAACACTAACATCTGACGCATGCGCAATGGCTTTAAACCGTCTGACAGCTGGCAATCGCTATCCTCGTCTGACTAGTGGTGTTACGCGCTAGCTCTCTTTCACTCTACTTTTAATATTTACTATATTTGTTAGCCAGCAACCCTTATTGGCGGCCAGATTTAATTAAGCAACCGTATATAATAATATACAGAAAAAAATTTGCTTTAATTTGATATATAAATTATAAATGTACGTTGTGGGTGTATAAATGTAACAAATTCATACCTGTGTATACCTGGCTGCGAAGAGGTGCGGCCAGGTGCGCAACGGCAACCATAATTTTTCAGAGTCTTTATAGATGTTGCCGTGAAGTAGACGACATTTCATTGAAAAAAAAAGTCAGTGAAATTTCTTACGGATTATGAATTATTAATAATTTAATTAAAAATACTAGCGGCCACATTTTGATAGGCAACCTGGTGGATATAAATTCTCCTAATCATGAATATGTGTAAAAATTTGGTTTTCAGCAAACACTCGATGGGTACACTGATTCTGCAGCCGGATCTCGTACTAATACTTTATATGGGAATAGCTAGTATTCACATACATATAGGTACGTAACATCACGCCTTTTATCCCCGAAGGAGTAGCCAGAGATGCACATTACGGTACTTAATGCCAGTTTAATGTAACACCTACTTTTCAGTATTCATGTTATGAGTCCCATGTAATAGGGGGTGAACCTATTGCCATATACCGGGCACATTTCCAAACTCCGTGCTACTAATGAATATTTTTAAAATACACAGTAATACTTTGCTTGACCCGGGAATCGAACCCGAAACCCCTTGCCAGTCGCACTTGCAACCACTCCGCCAACGAGGCAGTTAGCTAGTATATAACAATTAATTATTCAAAGTAAATTAAACTGTCAAACACCAAGCGGTCACCGGTGAACGCAACCTATTGTTCTTTAATTGTGTCTATAAATACGGTACTCGACGAGTTAAAAAACCACTCACCGTGGTAAGGTGGATGTTTCAGCAGCGAGGTGACATCGTCAGGGTACATGACGGCCCCCTCGAACTGCTTCACATACTCCGCATCTGGCATCCATCTATGTGCGTTACGTTGGCTGCTGTGGAGAGAGACATCATTATAATTTAATCAATACCAGTCTATCATATGTCCTGCACATATATATATTTTTATTATATTTGATGGGCCGACGTTTGATCCCTATCTCGCCTGGTGGTAACTGGTAATCGATGATGCTGCCTAAGATGGAGCATGTTGACCCATAAGCAGCCTATTCACTATGGCCTTAAAGATACCCAGGTTCCCAAGAATTGCACTCCTTAGCAAATTACTTGTAATATTAAGAAAAATGACAATTAAACACTATATTTTACTTTTTAAAAATCAATGTTGCCCCACATTGGGATTTTCTCTTGTGTCGTGGCTGCGTTTACAAACATCCAAATTCATATATGTATGACATCCACACACAACACATCCACACCAAAGGGACACAAAGAGTTGCGCCAAACCTACAGCCCTATATATTGTTTAAGGGAAATTAACATTACAATTTCAAATTTGTTAATTTTTTTACATAACATAGCATCACGCCTTTTATCCCCGAAGGGGTAGGCAGCGGTGCACATTATGGCCTGTACAATGTAACACCCACTTTACACTATTTATGTTATGAGTCCCATGTAATAGGGGGTGAGCCTATTGCCATATACCGGGCACAATTCCAGACTCCGTGCTACTACTGAGAATTTTTAAAAACCTAGTAATACTTTGCCTGACCTGGGAATCAAACCCGAGACCCCTTGCCTGGCAATCGCACTTGCGACCACTCGCCCAACGAGGCAGTCTATTTTTTGTAAGTTAATATTTCCTTTCTACAAAAACTCTACTAAAAAATATATTATATGAATAAATGACTGCACGATTGGCACCATAGATGGGCAACTGGCTGCTGCGCAACATGTAGCGGGTACCATACCCATATAGAGTGTCTCTTTGTGTAATCTACAAATTGTTGTTTAGGGTCTGTGTGTGATGTGCATGTAAACTTGTACGTTTGTAAATGCACACATGACATAGGAGAAAATTTTTGTGTAGAGCACTATTTTTAAAAAATTATATTGCTTTTTTCAGGGAGTTTATTTGTGGATCTAGCAAAGAATGAATTGTTAAACTTAATCTGTCAAACACCAAGCGGTCACCGGTGACCGCGACCTATTGTTCTTTAATTGTGTCTATAAAACCGGTACTCGACGAGTTAATGCTTCAGACATTCTCTGAGTCACCTTTAAGTAGAGAATCATCATGGATTTTGAAAGGACTAACAGAAGTATTAATTATTTACTAATTGTACCTATTTTTATAAATGATAATTTGTCCTGTATGTTTATGTGTTTTTATAAATAAGCTGACAACCTAAAAGACAATTTTGATCAATTTTAAGAATGAATGGATTAAAATGTATGTTTTAAGATCTTTCACATATTTACTGTATACTCAAGTTTTCAAAATAATTCTATTCTGTTACATTCTAAGTAAAAAATATTAACTGATATCCAGCTGATAAGTCCTCCCAATGGAACCAAGTGTTATTGACCTACAATTTAAGTTTGTTTTGTTGAACTTCAGAACAAATGTAGTGACGCTTAAAGCGTTTTAAATCACGACTTTATCTCTACATTATTGAATTAATTAGATAAAAGCACCAACAGTAATAAGCTTTAACAGCAAAATACGTAATATTTGTTAGGTTTTTAACCTCAAATGTTACATAATTTTTAAATCACAATTACACCACGATAATAATTAAAATCGATGTTTTATGATAATAAGCACTCACTTCACATTATAAAGGGCTGGTAAATTCTTTGTTAAGGCCGCTATTTGGCCCAAATTTGCGGATTTTCGCAGCAAAACACTGAACATAGAGGCCATTTTTGACGGGACTGCGTTCCGTTCTAAAACATTTCTGAAATGAACAAGACTGGAACATGTCATAATTTGACAGCAAGTTCATTGATCAAAGTCTAAGAAATAGCTATATACGTATGAAATGTGAAAGTTTAAATTGTGGATTAATAGATAATACAATATTATTAAACATGGTTTATAATATCTAATTATTTGTTAAATAGGTCGAATAAAAAAATTTGGAAGTGTGTTTATCATGTACTCTGCGTATAAAGGATCTCATATGTCAAACATCTCGCACATTGTCAGCTACAACTTGGCATCATGGCTTTTAATCAATGGAGACAAAAGTGTAATAAATCTTTTAAGAAAAACATGAATCCCTTTTTCCCTTGGTCACAGCATCACGCGTGAATGGCTGGACCGATTTCACTAATTCTTTTTTTGTTGTATTATATTAGAAGAAGGTTCTTATGACTTAAAAACATCCTGAAAATCCGACGGTAACGGGAGAAAACGGGATTGCCCGTACGAAGTCGCGGCAGAAGCTAGTCTTTTATAAATTACGTTAAAAAAAACAACAACAGCACTCTCTTGTTTGAAGTAGGTCAAAATGTTCTCCTAAGTGTAACAAACAATTTTCTGAAAACGCATCGAAATCGCTTCAGCCAATGGTGATGGTGATATAATCGTGCACAAACATTCATACATACAGGTTACAGGTCAAACTGAGAACAACCTTTTTTTAATTTTAGACTCGGTTAAAAATAAATAAAGCCATTAAAAAGATTCACCATCATCATTCATCCAGAAGACGACCACAGCTAAACGCATACTTCCCCCTTTGTCCACTTATGGATTTAACTCGTCGAGTACCGGTTTTATAGACACAATTAAAGAACAATAGGTCGCGGTCACCGGTGACCGCTTGGTGTTTGACAGTTCTCTTGAAGAACCATAAAATGCAAATTAGAGCAATAGTAGGTGACGATGAACCTCTGTTGCACCATAGTCCAGGCCCATAGGCCTGATCACACGAAGGTTATTATGCATTCCTAAGAATTTGAAAATCATAGTTAAGGCTTAAACTGGCGGACCCATGGGCGTAGCGAGGGGGAGGCGGGGGGGGGGGGGGCAGCTGCCCCCCCTAGCGGGCGGGCGGGCTGGCGATCTGAGCGAACTTTATTTCACCTCTTTATAAAAATTTACTGAGCTAAGCTATGTCATACTCATAATTACGGTAATTATTGTTATCTTTCGCCTCGCTAGCATAGTTTAGGGTTAATCTATGGTATAGTTGGTCGGTAGTCATTCTGCCGCGCCTTCGCCGCCTCCGCACCAAAAAACCAAAAACTAATAACAAACAAAAAGTCAAAACTAAAAAGCAAAAAATAGCTATTATTAGTACTGTTAGGTTACACACACTTAAGCTTTCACATTTATACCTAATGTATAAAAAAACAATTCAGTGTAGGATTTTCTCAACCTGCCCCCCCCCCCCCCCTGTAAAAAATCCTGGCTACGCCCATGGCCGCGGACCTCACCATGGGGTGTCAGCCTGCGCCGACGGGGTTACATTTATTAACCCGTCGAGCGTCCGCGTTCCTTATGATCCAACGGGTGCATTTCACAAGTGACATTCGGAGAAAGAAAGAAAGAAAATGCATTTATTTGGCCATTGGCACACGAAAACAATGATCATTACAATAGAAATAAAACAAATACAGTCAAAATAAAAACATTAATAATAGATTTTATAAAAGAGAAAGCAGCATGGAGCATTTTTTCTTATGATCCACCGGTTGCTCATAAGGACGCTCGAGGGTTTTTTTTAAGGGGGGAAAATCATTGAATTACTGCTCCCGCCTGGGTGAGGCGGAAGGGAGTGTCAGACTCTTACTGACTAAAAACCACCCGTTCCTTCTCCTGCACGTCGAGCCGGAGCCCCGGTTACCCGTTAGGTTCTCCACGACAAACATATTATGTCTACCTACCAGTTACGCTATTTTTTGACGCAAACAATATGTCTGCCTGCCAGTTGAAAGGTTAATATGGGAACGGCGATTTCTAACTTCTCAGGGCAAGTAGTAGTAGTAGTAGTGACAAAATAAAACGACTCAATTAATATTATTGTTTATTCTTTATTTATAAAAGTTTCATATTATATCTTTTACAAATACAAAACTGCTCATATGCTATGTAAAATCAAACCAAATATACCAACATTGAATTCATTTATTTGTTTAAAAAAATCTCATTATCTGCACATACAAAATGTCCACATATAAATAATAATGTTTAACGGCACACAAAACCGTTTGACGAAGTAACTCAACTAAGGTTTCTTAGGAATCATGCAATGGTGTTCATTTTTTTAATGGGATAAGCCAGTAAACGAACAATCACCTGATGCAGCAAGCAATCCTAAGCAATCGGCGCTGCCCATGGACACCCGAAACACCGGAAATGTTACAAGATCGTTGCCGGCCTTTTGGGGATAGGGTTTTTTTTAAGGGGGGAAAATCATCGAATGACTTTTCCCGCCTGGGTGAGGCGGGAGGGAGTGTCAGACTCTTACTGACTAAAAACCACCCCGTTCCTTCTCCTGCACGTCGAGCCGGAGCCCCGGTTAACCGTTAGGTTCTCTGAGACTGAGGGTTGAGGATTCAGGAATTGAGGAGATCGGAGAGGGGAGCAATTCGGCCTCAGGTAACCTCACTCCAACGAAGTTCAGGAATTTGAGCTCCTATCGTAGCTTGAAACCACTTGTCTTACCTCGACAAACAGCTATCGTATAATGTGTCATGAGATTTTTATAATACAAAAATGTTTGCTTATGATAACAAAATTATGTTAGTTCTATTTGACTCGTTTTTGCTGTCTCTGGCGATAGATGTCGTTAGCTGGCGGCGCGACTCCTAGCTCATCATCATCAGAATCTTCACCCGCTTTCCGTCGCCGTGCCTAGTGGAATAAAATGAAATATTAGGTTTTTGTTCAGTAAATTGGATAGGTTTTTATCCCTTTGTCGCCTTTTATCCCCGAAGGGGGCAGAGGTGCACATTACGGCACTTAATGCCACTGTACAGTGTAACACCCACTTTTCACTATTCATGTTATGAGTCCCATGTAATAGGGGGTGAGCCTATTGCCATATACCGGGCACAATTCCAGACTCCGTGCAGCTACTAAGTTTTTTTTTAAACCCTGTAATACTTTGCTCGACCCGGGAATTGAAACCGAGACTCCTTGCCCGGCAAGTCGCACTTGCAAGGGAGTGAGTCTCCTCTGAGCAACTTATTGCGCTTTATCTGCAACTCTGGACGATCGCGAGGAAACTACGACTTCAGCCAGCGTCTCCGCCTGCACTCCCGTGGGATAATGAAGTCGGTGAAAAGTAGCCTATGTGTTATTCCAAACAATAATCTGTTCTTGTTGCAAATTTCATCGCGATCTCTTCAGCCATTTTGACGTGATTGAGTAACAAACATTCAAACAACTCACAAAGTTTATCATCTATATAATATATAGATGATAAACTTTGTTAGTTACACCACTTATAACTCAAGAACGGCAGAATAGATTTGGCTGAAAATTGGTAGGGAGGTAGCTTAGAGCCAGGAGACCGACATAGGATACTTTTTAACCAATACTTTTTTTTACTTTTTACCGAAAATCACGAACGGGGACGGGAAAAAATGGGATTACGCGTACGAATTCGAGGGCAGAAGATAGTTTATAATATTAGTAAGATTACTAACCTTGCTGGATACGGTGGTGATGCCCTCATCATCAACGATCCAGTGCACAGAGCGCGCCAGGTCGAACAGTTTGGTGTCGCAGCCGTTCTCCATTGTAGGCGCAGGCGCTGTTGGAAATGATATGGAAATATGTATTATGAATTCATCATTACATCAGCTACAAGACATGAACATGGCTTCTCTCAATGACTTTTAAACCGGTTGGTTAAAAGTAATCATCGAATGACTTTTCCCGCCTGGGTGAGGCGGGAGGGAGTGTCAGACTCTTACTAACTAAAAACCACCCCGTTCCTTCTCCTGTACATCGAGACGGAGCCCCGGTAATCCGTTAGGTAGGTGGTTAAAAGTAATAAGGTCAAATGTAAGGTATTTTTATTATCAATACACACTACAAGCCCGCTAAAACCTCCCAACACTGATGCAACTCCTGTACACCACGATGTACAGTAGATACAACCATGCAAACACCGGAACACTGAAGTCCAGCGTCTCAGGGACATGAACAACTGTCTTGGATCCCGCAACGAGAAGCGTCACCGATCACGAAGCGCTTCGCATCAAGCTTCCTTGTGTATACTGTTAAGAAGAATTCTTTGCTAGAGTGTATTTCCTGAAGGGTTATACCCTGGGTGTCTTTAAGGCCCGAGTGAATAGGTCGCTTATGGGACGACGTCCTCCATCGTAGGCCGCATCATCGCTTACCACCAGGCGAGATAGTGGTCAAACGTCGGCCCATCAAATATACATAAACAAAAATATATAAATAAACTCCCTGGCTTCCCTGTATAATAACTATAGGATTTTTTCCTATCCTTTTTTGAATTAATAAGCTGTAGGGTTTCTCCAGTCCAGCAGTAGTCTTCCACAGGTTGTTGATGTCAATATCCAAAAATCCTTACTAATATTATAAATCGGAAAGTGAGTTTGTTTGTTTGTTCCGCTTTCACGCCATAAGTACTAAACCGATTGCTTTGAATTTTTGCAGACGTAAAGTTAGAAGTCCGGATTAAATAATAGGGTACTTTTTATCCCGGAAAAATTTTATTTTCCCGAGGGAAAACAAAAGTATTGGTATAGATGGCGCTGTGTGTATATGTCACAAGGGCTACTTTTTATCCTTTTGTGACGCGAGCGAAGCCGCGGGTAAAAGCTAGTACGTAATAAATCAGAAGTTATTATTAGAGGGGTAGAAAAACAACCTGTCTGTCTGTCTGTGTATATAAATATATCACAATTTACTCACGTTTGTCCGGCAGAGAGATTCTATTGAAGAGTTGCATGAGTCTGTCGATGGCAACGAAGGGTCCGCGGTAACTGGAGGGAGGCGGCATCATTGTACAGAGCTGCGCCGCCGCGGGAGGCAGGGGGAATGTTCCGCCTGGAGAACAATATTTAGTTTTAACATACATACATACTTAAGGTTATGTTCTTTCAACCCTATAGATACCCTACGCATGCCCTTTATTTATCAGCTGATCTTTTATCTGTTAGGAAACTTAACTTACTCCGACTCATACTGAAAAAACACATAACTCTCACATACGACCATTGTAAGCCAAAAAACAGAAGAGACCATTTGGTCGCCCCAACTGTTAGGGTGAGATCTGCCTTTGCTAAAAGACAATACCCGAGGCAATCATCTTATTTATACAACTTGCTGAACAAAGAACTACGAATCCATCCCATGAAACTTTGGGACTGTAAAAAAGCTGTAATGGACTGGCTCAAAACAAAGACATATGACGAAGTTGAGTCAGTTATAACCACTCTTTAATAACAGGATTATTAAAAACTGGGCTGGTGTGCATAGATATAATTAGTGAAGGTAATTTTTTCGGACTCCTTCGATCCCAAGACTTTGTCGTACGGCTAATTGGTGAACTGGTTAATTAACAGATAAAAAAAAATATATCTCAACTCACACAGTTCCTGATAAGCTTACACTCATATTTGCACTCACTCTTTCACTCACCTACTCACTCAATCACTCATACACATACTCACTATACATGATTCACATACTACACATACATACACTGTGCGATCTGGTATTTTCACAATAACTGTTATTCATTGTAACTTCAATTACTTAGAATGTCATGTGGAAGTGCGGAGTCTGATAACACAAGCAATCCATTGCTTAAAAGGTAATCTCCAATAATTTTTTTGTAATGCCTTTTGTAATTGAAATAAACTTTTTATTTTTTTTTATATGTTAACATAACATCACGCCTTTTTATCTCCGAAGGAGAAGGCAGAGTTGCCATTACGGCACGTAATGCCACTGTACAATATAACACCCACTTTTCACTATTTATGTTATGAGTCCCATGTAATAGGGGGTGAGCCTACTGCCATATACTGGGCACAATTCTAGACTCCGTGCTACAACTGAGATTTTTTTTAAAACCCAGTAATACTTTGCCCGACCCGTGGATCGAACGCGAGACTCTTTGCTTGGCAGTAGCACCTGCGACCACTTGGCCAATGGGGCAGTCTCTAAACATAAAAGTTTAAACATATCATAATGATTACATCATATTAGGAAATATACAATATACCTGGAATAGGATGTTCACCAGGCAATGGATTGACTTTAGGCTTGTACGGTATCATCTGACTGGTGTCCGGCCGCGCTATGTCCTTGTTTGGGTCGTTGTCCCTGTAAAAGAGAGAGATGACAAAATGAGAATGAGATAAAATTGAGAGAGAGAGAGAGAGAGAGAGAGAGAGAGAGAGAGAGAGAGAGAGAGAGAGATAGAGTAAGTAAGGCAGTGATCGGAAATAGGAGCTTGGAGGACAGGGAGATAACTTACTTCTGTCCGAGTATAACGGCTGCCAGTTCTGGCGATATCCCCGCTAGAGGGCCTCCCAGTGCCCACGACTTGTTCGACATTGAGGCCACCTGTAATAATACAAATATATAATTTTGTTATAGCTGACATTTTAATGTTTTGTAATTTTACTGTATTTTCTCATTTACTTTTAACACCTGTTATATATTATATACTTAGATTTAGTTTTCTTTTTTTATATTTTTAGTAATTTTTTTTTTATTTATATATTTCAGGCATCACAGGCCCATATCGAATACTATAAACTAATACATTAAAGATTTATAAATACTATACATACATTACAAACAAAATAATTACTCAATTAGGTACTTAATAACTAGGTCACACGGAACCTCGGAACCGTCGGAATTTAATTTGATTAATGTAATTGGTGTATACCGTGTTTATTAATAAATAAATGACATTCGATTACTAAGTGTATTCAGGCTTCATTCCGTTGCGTTTGTATAAACGCGCTAACCTCAGGAACTCCTGATCTGATTTGAATAATTCTTTTTGTGTTGGATAGTGCATTTATCGAGGAAGGCTACGATAATTATTTATTCATAATATGGACAACCAGTAGTTGTTACATTAGGTATTACATCTAAGCACTTACATAACAATAAATTTTAAATGCACAGCATTTTATGGTGTCACAACTTGGACATCAACCTAACGATAGCACTTTTAAATGCATATATAAATTCACGACTGTCTCCCAAGGGGGTAGGCAAAGACAATGGAACACCAATTGCTACGATTCCTACATACGTCTTTCGCTTCATCAACAGTCATCAGTCTTTTCATGCATGCTCATCGGTTAAGGGTACTTTTAATTTGGCCCTTCCTTTAATATATCGCCAATCTGGTCACTATGTCGGTCTAGGGCGCCCTCTACCAACACCCTCTACATTTTTATCAGAAAGAAACTATAAAACAGACTTTACAGACTGTTATATAAAACATTATGCTACAATCTAAAGAAGTCGCGCAGAGGGGGTGAAAGTACACGGTAAAAAAAGAAAATTATATTTTAAATTAATATTTTTCATATTTTTATTGACGTTCCATAGTCTCTGCCTACCCCTATGGGAGACAGGCGTGGAGTTATGTATGTATTTTTTGTACTGACCTCGGTGTACCCGATAGACTTGAGTTCAGCGATGCTACACGGGTAGAGGTCAAGGAACTTGTAGCGGTCCACTAGCTGCGCCGTCTCCTTGCCTTCAAACTCCTTGATCTGTAATACACAATTAATTAAATAATTATTACTGTTTACCTCTTTGGACGAGTAGACGTAAGTGCGACTGTCTGGCAAGGGGTCTTGGGTTTGATTCCCAGATCGGGCAAATTATTTTTAAACAATTTTAAATTGTTTTCGGTATATAGCAATTGCCTCACCCCCTATTACATGGGACTCATAAGATTAATAGTGAAAAGTGGCTGTTACATTGCACAGTGGCATTAAGTGAAGTGATGTACACCACTGATTAGTTTTTTTAGAGATAGTGGTCAGACAATCAAAAAAATAATTAATTAAAATAGCATTCGTTATTTCCAAACCTACCTTTTCCAGCACAGCCTGTCTTCTCTTCTCGACCTTGACGATACTGACCAGGTCTCCAATATTAGATTCGAACTCTAGGAACCGGTTCCATATATCGACCTGACTCTCCGGTTTGAGGCTCCCTGAGGATAGGACTCGCTCGAAGAGAACACGGGTGTTGTTGTCCTCTGGAAATTATTTATTTATTATATTTATTATCTATATTTATAAAAGAAAGTCGTGTTATTTACACTATTTATAACTCAAGAACGGCAATAGACTTGGCTGAAAATTGGTAGGGAGGTAGCTTAGAGCCAGGAGACCGACATAGGATACTTTTTGGTCAACATTTTTTTTTTACTTTTTACCGAAAATCACGAACGGGGACAGGAAAAAATGGGATTACGCGTACGAAGTCGCGGGCAAAAGCTAGTTTATTATATTTATAGGAGGTACGGCAGGGTAATAGTAGCTTTTGGATACCAGTTCGCGATGTAACCATAAAATCTTTATTTCATTTAAGATAGATTTTCTTGAGTGCCTCGTTTGCCGAGTGGTCGCAAGTGCGATTCGGCAAGGGGTCTCGGGTTCGATTCCCGGGCCGGGCAAAGTATTACTGTGTTTTTAAAAATCTCAGTAGCACGGAGTTTGGAAGTGCCCGGTATATGGCAATAGGCTCACCCCCTAGCTTATTGAGCTCTGCAGCTTATGCTGTCTGGAAGATCCGACAGTTGACCGACATAGGCACGGCAAGACTAGTGTACTTCAGTTACTTTCATAGCATTATGTCGTATGGCATTCTGCTGTGGGGACACGCTGCTGACATTGAGTCTATCTTTATCTTACAAAAGCGCGCCGTCAGAGCTATCTACAACCTAGGTTGTCGCGAATCACTCAGAGAGAGGTTTAAAGAGATCAACATTATGACCGTTCCATGTCAATTTATCTATGAAAACATTATGTATGTTAGGAAAAATCTACAGTTATTTGGTAAAGTGTCGGACAGACACCACTATCAAACTAGACATAAGGATAGATTAAGTCAGCCAATTTTGAGATTGGCGAAAGTGGGTAAATCGTTCATGGGATTCTGTGTTAAATGTTATAACAAGATACCAAGCGATATACAGCATCTAAATGAAATGAAGTTTAAATTATGTATAAAAAAAACTTTATGTAGACAAGCATATTACAAAATTAATGATTATATAGAAGATAAAAATGCTTGGATGCACGCTGGTCCAGCTCCACGGGATAACGAAAAACATTGATGTGTCAATGAAATTCAACCTAAATATTACAACGTAGTTGCTTAAATGTATATGGTTTAACTTGCATAATCATTGTTAATGTGAGAGCCCTGTAATTAACTAAATATTAAATTGGACTAGTAGAATGCATTTATGTCAGCTTGGAGTTGTCATGTTCACTCAAAGATCGAATTGGCGGTGGCACGTGCATTGGGTCGCTAGATTCCCTGCAATATGATTGAGTTGGGCGGTGCTGGTGTACGTGTCATGTTCGTGAACGGGCGCCGTCAACTGTGACTGGTCAGCTCCAGACTGTATTATTTATTGTCTTTAAGGGTTATTTTCTTTTTCGATCTCTTTGGCTAGACTTGGTGTTACATTGTTCTCGCACAATCAAACCAATAAAACTGTGTAACTGAAGAATTGTATTGTGAAACTGATTGGAAAAGAGTAACCTATGGAGTTTCTTGCTCGTTCTTCTCCATAGGAATCTACACCTTGGAATGAGCAAATAGCTTCATTTTTAAATTTCTATTGCTGACGTTCAAAAGTGCCTTCCTGGTCTAATTGAAATAAATGATTTTTGACTTTTTGACTTTTGACCCTATTACATAGGACTCATAACATAAATAGTGAAAAGTGGGTGTTACATTGTACAGTGGCATTAAGTGCCGCAATGTGCACCTCTGCCTACACCTTCGGGGATAAAAAGGCGTAATGTTATGATGTTATGTTAGATTTTCTTTTACATTTGATGGGTCGATTTTTTTTTTATGGAAATGTAGGCAAACGAGCAGGCGGATCACCTGATGGTAAGCGATCAGCGCCGCCCATGGACAGCCGCAACACCAGAAGAGCCACAGGTGCGTTGCCGGCCTTTTAAAAAGGAGTACGCTCTTTTCTTGAAGGTTTGAAGGTCGTATCGGTTCGGAAATACCGCCGACGACAGATCATTCCACAGTTTTGCTGTGCGAGGCAGGAAGATACGTGAGAACCGCACAGTTGTGGCCTGCCAACCATCTATTTGGTGGGGATGCATTTGCCCACTATCTCGCCTGATGGTGCACGATGATGCGGTCTACGATGGAGCACGTCGTCCCATAAGCAACCTATTCACTCGGGCCTTGAAGACACCCAGGTTAGATTGAGCTGTAAGTTCTTTACATGTACGGGCGGCGCAAAAATGTCTGCTACAGATTAAACTTCTGGTTTTATAATAACTGTCGTGAGACATACTAAATTAACTAAAAATCGCGGATTACTCACGTGAACATACTGAGAAATGCTCTATTATTTTCGAACCACAGAGGGGTTCTAGCTCATGAACTAGGCTGCGCGACATGGCCGCGACTGCTGCTCATGAGGAAGAACCCCTCTGTGGTTCGAAACTAGTAGAGCTTTTCTCAGTATATTCACGTGAATAACCCGCGATTTTTAGTTAATTTAGTATGTCTCACGGTAGTTATTGTAAAAACAGATCTAACTAGAGCTACATATGCAAATGCCAATTTGATTTCACGTTTAGTAAGTTAGACTACTTCTGTTTAGAAGCTATCACAGCCATGTATTACTATGGCAAAGCTCATCAAATATCTATGCTATTACCATTAAAAAACTCACCGTTCAAATGAGACAGGTAGTCGATATAGCAGAGCACATATTCAGGTATGTGTGAGAACTTCTTGAGTCCAAGTTCGAAGATACGGAAAGCAATGTTTTTGTCTTTGGAGCAGTAGTACTCCATCAGCGCTGCCGCTACGAACACGTGGTAGCGGGACCTGGGGGGGGGGAGGGGGGAGAATAAGCACATCATCAATCATCAACAGCCTATAAATGCCCACTGCTGAGCAAAGCCTCTTCTCACACGGAGAAGGTTTGAGCATTAATCACCACGCTTGCTTAATGCGGGTTGGCGATTTCAAACTAATAATTAGAAATTGTTAGCCCAGGTTTCCTCACGATGTTTTCCTTCACCGTTTGTCAGTGGTGTCTGAATAATCTTAGAAAGTACATATAACTCGGAAAATGTCACATTGGTACTTGCCGTTAGTAGGTTTCGAACCCGCACCCTCATGCATGAGAAGCGGGCGTCTTAAACCTCCGGGCCACCACGACACTTTTTATGATAAAATGGCGAATACACACGCCATACATAAAAATTATGTATAAGATGATGATCATGGCCCGGAGGTTTAAGACGCCCGCTATTTCAGGATGATTCAGATCTTATCATCATTGTTTTGAATGATGTATTGAATTTCAGTGATTTGTAATTTGTCAAAAAAGTCGTCGTGGTGGCCCGGAGGTTAAGACGCCCGCTTCTCATGCATGAGGGTGCTGATTCGAAACCTACCAATGGCAAGTACCAATGTGACTTTTTTCGAGTTATATGTACTTTCTAAGCTTATTTAGACAATACTGAAGGAAAACATCGTAAGGACACCTGGGCTTATAATTTCTAATTATAAGTTTGAAGTCGCTATTGAGCAAGCGTGGTGATTAATGGTCAAACCTTCTCCGTGTGAGGAGAGGCCTTGGCTCAGCAGTGGGCACTTATAGGCTGTTGATAATGATAACATAAAAATATTTTAAGTTAAGCTCTATTCTACCAATCACGCCTTTACGTTTGATATCCATAATGGAGGTAGTTGTGGAATTAGATAATATTGTGCGGTCATCAAGATTAAGAGTGTGTACCAAATATCAGATCGATCTGTCTTTAGAAAAGGGATGAAATTCTAATTACTAAATTTGACCGAAAAACCGGTGCAAAATACATAAAAATTATTTAGGATTCTAAGTTTTATTACATATTTGTACGCGCGCCGCCGTCGCCGATACCACGAATGGAAGAAAGTGCGCGTGAATCACGGCAGAGGGCGCGCTGGACTCGAGTAGCCAGTAGCAGCGCGACAGTCGCCGCGTCGCGGGTCGCGGAATGCTGCTCATGAATATGAGCCTCTAGCATGGCTTGGAACTAGTCGAGTTCCTCGTCGAATTATTACGTGAGTAAGCCGAAAACACAATAATTTATTTTATTACATACCTAGGATCCTCCCTGGCCCGTTTAAAGACAGTCCTGGCAGACTTGATGCCTTCAGCTCGCCTGGCGAACTTCATATACTGCACGTACGCCAGGGTAGGGTCGATGTCCTCCATGTCCAAGTAACGGGTGTATACTTGATGTACCTGGGTGTGAAATTATAATTATATAGTTGACTGTATAGTTTCGAGAGAGGATTTATGAGCCCCGGTTTGGTTCGAAAGTAGTCGAGTGTATGCGTAAGAAGTAAAAATTTATAAATATAAATAACTTTCTTTATCTTAAATTTTTTTCTTTACGAAAATTAACCCTGAATTAAAACATTAGTAGTGGGTAATTGCACATTAGCCACTAACTGAGTTTAGGAATTTAACTCTTATTGCTAGGGTTCTTAGGGTCCACAACAGCTTGGCTGCATAGCGGTATAGTAGGAAAAATGAAGAACGAAAATCGAAAGATTTTTAATTTTAAAATATAATTTCACTTTATATTTGAAGGAAAAAAGTATATTCGGACTAATTGGAAAAAGGGCGCGATTTTGTTAAATAAAAAGCGTGAAACTATAATGACTGCCTCGTTGACCGAGCGGTCGCTAGTGCGTCTGTCGGGCAAGGGTCTCGGGATCGAATCCCGGGTCGGGCAAAGTATTAATGGTTTTTTTTTTAATTCAGTAGTAGCAAGGAATTTAGAAATGTGCCCGGTATATAGCAATAGGCTCACCCCCTATTACATGGGACTCATAACATAAATAGTGAAAAGTGGGTGTTACATTGTACAGTGGCATTACATGCCGTAATGTGTACCTCTGCCTACCTCTTCGGGGGTAAAAGGCGTGATGTTATGTTATGAAACGATTATAAAATAATCCTTACTAATACATATTATATATCGGAAAGCGATTTTGTTTGTTTGTTCCGCTTTCACGCCGTAACTACTAAACCGATTGCTTTGAATTTTTACAGACGTAAAGTTAGAAGTCCGGATTACATAATAGAGTACTTTTTATACCGGAAAATGTGACATTCCCGAGGGAAAACAAAAGTTTTGGTATAGATGGCGCTGTGTGTATTGGCATATGTCACATAGGCTACTTTTTAACATTTTGTGACGCGAGCGAAGCCACGGGTAAAAACTAGTTTTACAATATATCAAAAACTTTACCTTATTATAATGCAGTCTACTTTCCTCATAGTCGGCGTGGGCAAAGTGTAATAACGTGGACTGTTTCAGAGGTCCACTGGTGGCCCTCTCATACACTGCTGCTGCTTCGTCCGAGAACAGACGCGCCGCATTCGAGTCCTGTGCGAGGTAATAAGTAATAATATATTTATTTATTTTTTAAAAAACGTTGCCCCCTAATAGGATTTTCTCCTGTGTCGTGTGTGCGTTTACAAACATACAAGTTCACATACACATCACACCCAGACCCGGAACAACAATCTGTGGATCACACAAAGAGTTGCTCCGTGCGGGAATCGAACCCACTGCACGTTGAGCGGCAGCCGGTTGCCTAGCCACCGCATGCAGTGCGTTGTGCGTTTTTAATCTAATATGGAATTATCTAGCATCACACCATTGAACGTTTAATGTTTGACAGTGGCTGTATTATAGTCAGAATTTTAATTAGATTCCAGATTTGACAATAGCTACTGTCATTTTGTGAAATAATGATACCACATATAATAGTGTAGTGATGCACACAAAAATCGATAAACAATCGGTGTGTTTGTTTTATAATAAATGTTACAGAAAGTGACAGGATAGCGATACCGATGACGGCGACAGTTTATAAAATAACTTATTACCATGATACATCTATCTGTTTTATTTGTCATGTCCCTTCATGCTTACATTTTTTAATTTATTTAACACACAATTATTAAAGTCTCAGATCGTTAATTAATCTTCAAAACTAAATTATGGGTTCAGAAATATTTAATTTCCTGATATACCTAGTTTACAAGAGTAAAATTATAAACGAGAAGAATCGATCCAGAAATATTGCATTTCCATATCGAATAATTTCGCAACGTCACTATTTAGTACTTGTCATAACGTTGCAACACTGAAATTGTCAAATCTGGAATCGAATTAAAATTCCGAGTATAGTTTTATATTTGATGGGTCGACGTTTAACCACTATCTCGCCTGGTGGTAAGCGATGATACGGTCTACGATGGAGCACGTCGTCCCATAAGAAACCTATTCACTCGAAGGTTCACCCTTCAGGAAATAAAGACTCTGGCAAAGAATTCCACTCCTTAGCAGTATGCACAAGGAAGCTTGATGTGAAGCTCTTCGTGCGTAGGTAGGACATCTACCATGAACCGGTGATGCTTCGCCGATTGTCTTTTAATTGGACAAAAAACGGAGCGATACCATGGCCTCACAGAAGACCGACGTGAAACAACGTTGTGTTGTGTTTCGTCATGTGAGTGACAGAGATGCCCAATTACCCCCCCCCCCCCCCTCCCTTTCTCCAATCCCAGAATCCCCAACAATCCTCAAATTCCTAATCTCAAAAGGCTGGTAACGCACTTGTAACGCCTCTGGTGTTCCAGGTGTCCATGGGCGACGCCGATTGCTTACCATCAGGTGATACGTCTGCTCGTTTACCGGCTTATCCCATAAAAAAAATATCTGGCTATATTTGCGCCATCGGGTGAGCCAAAAAATAATGGTAGGCCCCCATTGAGATTACACTATCAGGTCAACATCTAGATATAACTCACCCCTTTCTCCTGCAGCAGCTTGGCGGAATGGTCGAGGAACTGCGCGGCCTGGTGCCAGACGTCAGGATGGTGTGCCAGGCAGAGCAAGCACTGCTCTATCGCGAACATCACCCGCCGAGCTACAAGCGCTGTATCTTCTGAACGGAGGGGGTTGGAACGCTCCCACGTTATGTACTTTTTCCATAGTTCCACCTGTAAGAGGATATTGCAGTTGGTTTGTGTAATCATAGAGTACATTTATTACCACCATCTGAGGAGATCGTTCAAGTATAAAAACAGCACAGGACCACGGTATTAAGCTGTGCTCTGGCCTTCTGCGCGACGCATCATGGGCTTTTTATGTGTACCTGTATTCTTGTTGTGTGTCGTGGCGTAATAATTGTTTTTTCTTTCTTTCAAATGTGGGAAAGCCATGCTTCGGTACAAATAGGCCGGTTTGACCGGAGTGATACCTCGGCTGAGCAGAAAACCGACGTGAAACAACGCTTGCGTTATGTTTCGTCGTGTGAATGTAGGTTACCGGAAGCCTAATTACCACCCTCCCCGATCTCCGCAACCCCCTCAATCCTCAAATTCCTAATCCCCAAAAGGCTGGCAACGCACTTGAAACGCCTCTGGTGTTCCGTGTGTAAATAGGCGACGCTGATTGCTTACCATCAGGTGATCCGTCCGCTCGTTTATCGGCTTATCCCATAAAAAAAATCGTGTCATGAAAACATTTGATGAAAATCCGGCAATAGTGCTCACTAACACAGTTCAATAATCTAGCAGTGGACTATCCCGTTGTTGACGGGTGATGTGAAAGTGTTAATTTAAATTTTAACTTTATTGCGCTAAACAATGCGCTTATTAAGTGATTTCTTGCGCAAAATGAGATTGCTCTTGTTGAAAGTGTAGAATATATTTCGATCACTTTTAAATCACATGCGCAATTTGCGCTGCCTTGCGCAACTTGCGCTACCTTGCGCTTCCTTGCGCAAACGTATAACTAGTTTACTAGAATCTTTAAATACCTGTTTCATCTCCTCCCTGTCAGCAGTAGGCGGTGTGGCAGGCATGTTCCTATTCAGACCTCTAGTCACTGTCTCCAACTCCTTGGCCACTCGCTTCGCGTTCATGTATTCGCGGGAACGCTCCATCGACATTCTTTCAGCTAGATAAGGTTAAAGTTAAAAGGTTGTAAAGTGAGTTAGAATATGAACTTTAGCGGGTAGACGTTACGAATGTTATTCAACTGTGGATGTCTTCTATCTGTGATAATAATGATGTAGTAGAAAACAAAGTAAAAGCTCTTCAAAGACTTCTTGTGTATTTATCCAGTAAAATATCTCTGTACACCCTATGCAAATGTGTCGCGGTTTCGATTCCCGCACGGAACAACACTTTGTGAGATCCACAAATTGTGGTTTCGGGTAAACGCACCCACGACACAGGAGAAAATCTTATTGCGGGGCAACGTTTACAAAAGGGAGTGAGTGTCAGACTCTTACTGACTAAACACCACCCCGTTCCTTCTCTTGCACGTCGAGCCGGAGTCCCCGTAGCCCATTAGGTTCTCCGCGACAGGCAAGTGCCTAGGGCGCTAGGTTACGCGCGTGCCCAACTGTGCATAGAGTGACGGCGGCGACAAAAAAATTAGGGGCGCCTATGAGCTGCTTGCTTAGGGCGCTCACTAGGTTTAATTCGCCTCTGCTTGCTTCTTCAACAGATAATTAATGCAAGAAATTTAAGGGAACAGAGAGCATAGTTCCCTAAGATCGGAAAAAGAGGATCTTCCGACCAGGCGAGGTGATCGTGCCTGGCGGGCTTTCTGCCCAACAGTTGTTCGTTGGGATTTTCTATCCGTGTTTATCCGCTTGTAAACTTTACATGTGCGATGTAGGATTTTTCGTGGCGTCATCCGTTGATTTGTTGTCATCGATGTTTGTCGTGTGTCATGTGTCGCCACAAATTTAAAAGTGGGACTAAAAAAAGCTGATTTATTTGATAGAGGAAAATGAAAAATAATATCTTACCAATGATAGTGTTGATGCTCTGTTCAAACGCAATGTAATCCTTCCACAGAGTCTCAATACCTATTATAGGCGTGATAACTGCCCTCTGGTACACCTGTAAAAGGAGAAAAGAGTATTAACACGTTAAGGTTAAAACCATTTACATAAAATTGAGATGCTGACAGGGTAAAAAGATTAAAAATCTAATTAGTCCGTAACTTAGGTAATGAAAAAATATTAGACACGTATTTTTTTATTTTGTCGTATAAGAAAACAATACTTAGATAAAACGAATCAAAGTTTAGTAGTGAGGGCTAAAACGTCATTTCTACGTATAAAATGTACATAGAAGTGACGTCATGCGACATTTTAAATCAATATATCGTCGAAAGTATTCGTTTCAGTAATAAAATAAAAAATACGTGTGTTATGATTTAAAATAATCTACTAGACGGACATTAAAATAAAAATTAGGCATCTACCCTATTCGTTACCTTTCTCACAGCAGAGATCTTCTGGTTTTCAGCATAAGATCCCACAGCCTCCACACTCTTCAAAAACGTGATGTAATCATTCCAGATCGGGTAAGCGTGGATGTCCAGGCCGATCTTGTCCAGCGCGAAGTCGTAGGCTTGAGCCATTTTTTCCCTGAGGAAATTTTCAATTAATTTAAAGGATTATGGGATTAAACTTCAAGAATTTGTATCCCAAACCCAGAACTGTATTATCCCTAAAGCAAAGCGGATTAAACCTAAAGAGCGCCCTAGGCCAGCACCTCATAGGCGCCTGTAATATTTTTTGGCGCCGCCGCCACTGTATTGGCGCGGCGCCCCTCTGTAACCTGTGCCTTTAACCAAACGCCACTTTAGCGCTTGTCTACAGAGAGAGTAGAAAAATAAATGTATGGGGATGATACTGAAAAGTGTCAAAATTTACGTCAATCCCATATAATTTGGTTTTCTATTCTACATGTAGACAAGCGCTAAATGGCATTTGGCTTCAGCTACTGGCCCTAGGCATTTGTCTAGTTTGCCTAAGAGATAATACCTCTCTGGCCTAAGTATTTTTTTAAGGGGGGAAAATCATCGAATGACTGCTCCCGCCTGGGTGAGGCGGAAGGGAGTGTCAGACTCTTACTGACTAAAAACCACCCCGTTCCTTCTCCTGCACGGCGAGCCGGAGCCCCGGTTACCCGTTAGGATCTCCGCGACCTGGCCTAAGTATAGGACATCTCAAAAGAAGGCTACAGTTATGTAACTTATTTTTTTTACATTAAGCTGTGACTGCAGGCATATCATAATTAAAAATATTCGAATTTTTGCATTAGAGATGTTTTTTAAACGTTGTGGGGCAACTAGGATTTTCTCCTGTGTCGTGGATGCGTGTACAAACATACAATTTCACATACACATGACACCCAGACCCGGAACAACAATTAGTGGATCACACAGAGTTGTTCTGGGCGGGAATCGAACCCGCGACACGTTGCGTGGCAACCAGTTTCCCAGCCAACCGTGCAGTCGAAGTTTTGAAATTGAGATTTGTTATTAATTTCGACCGAAAAATGCAGGCACTTGAGATTCCCAGGTTCAAAGCAATATTGTGAATTTTGTATACCAAAAATCTCAAGCGGAAAGTGCGCATTACAAAATAAATATATTAGGGCAAAAAGTACTTGCAAAGTAAAATCACTATTCTGCCTTTCTTCGCAAAAATAATAATGTGTTAATTATAAAATCTTCGGTACTAACACTGAATTCAACTGGCAAAAATTCGTCTTCCCTGTGCCTTTAGCCAAATGTCATTTAAATAAAAATCTCAGTACCTAGTAGTAATACGGAGTCTGGAATTGTGCCCGGTATATGGCAATAAGCTCACCCCCTATTACATGGGACTCATAACATAAATAGTCAAAAGTGGGTGTTACATTGTACAGTGGCATTACGTGCCGTAATGTACACCTCTGCCCTTCGGGGATAAAAGGCATGATTTTATCTTATGTTAGTTTATTATAGTCTCCTCTAATAATAATATCTTCTGGTAAAGTAAATAATACGTACTTGTAAGTAGGCAGCATGCATTTGGTCTCCTTAACATAGTTTAGGTACAGTCGCCACAATTCTATGTTCAGGATCTTCATTAAACATCGCTGGAACAGCTGCATTGGTGAAACAATGATTATTGAGGCTATACTACTAACAAGTAACACTGCTGGATTTAGGGTGCTTCTTAAGCTATATAAGGTACTAGATATTTATCAAAAAGATGACGCAGGTAGCACCTGTATTAAACTAACTAACTCCAAAATAATGACGTTTGAAACCTTGATTGAAGTCTCGCAAAAGCTCAAGTAGTTTCACGCCATGTCGGGGCTCATAAACATTAGTTGTGCACATGGCTTTTCACATAATTAAGCAGTACATATGAGTATGAGGTAGTCTAGAAATATTTTAGGTGCCTAATAGCAGGGACTGAAAGCGGTTAAGGTATAAAGTTACGGTACCGGTACAAACTAAGTATACCGATATTAAGGTTATACCGTCATTTAACCTTCATGCGATATCAGTACCGATAAACTTAGATTTGACCGTTGCGGGACGTACAGCGAGAGGTGCGAACACAGATATAACAATTGTTTTTATTTCATATGATATATCTGTCGATGTGAAATAGCTGCAACCGGTAGGCACGCGCCTGTGAGCCTGTAAGGGGAGAGAAATAGGATTTTTTTTAAGGAGGGAAAATCATCGTATGACTGCTCCCGCCTGGGTGAGGCGGGAGGGAGTGTCACTCTTACTGACTAAAAACCACCCCGTTTCTTCTCCTGCACGTCGAGCCGGAGCCTGGTATACTTAAGTTCTCCGCGACAGAGAAATAGGATAGATAAAGTAACGTGGTCAGTATCTCTTTTATACCTTTTTATTAAGGGGTACCGGTACCGAAATACCGGTTTCCATATTTTGATACTTTGATACCCAAAAATAACGATACCGAAAAATTTCGATACCGAAAAACAATTTAAAGGTACTTTAATTTTCAACTGACTTCAAAAAAAAGGAGGAGGTTCTCAATTCGACTGTAATTTGTTTTTGTTTGTGCCCTGATTACTCGAAGACGCCTGGAGGCTTGTCATTTAGTCCCATTGTCATCAAAGCAGGATCTGATGATGGAAACCCAGGGGAACCGAGGGGAACTTTTAAAAATGAAAGGGGCGACTAGTGAATTTGTTAATTTTTTCATTAAGTATTTAAAACCATTACAATCTGATAAAGGTCTGTAGTCGATCTGATGAAGGAGCCGAGAGCCAGTCGAGGGAACTCCTCAACGGTTAACAGTAGCTATCTTGTGTTTGGGTTTGATTCATTTGTATCGATGAGGACTTTCTACCTAGGTGGTATGTGATTGCCAATAAGGGTCTGATGATGAAGTAGTACGATAGTTGAGGGAACTCCTCAACGGTTAAAGTAGCTATCTTGTGTTTGGGTTTGACACATTTGTATTGATGAGGACGTTCTACCTAGGTGGTATGTAATTGCCAATAAGGGTCTGATAATGAATTAGTACCATAGCTGAGGGAACTCCTCAACGGCTAACAGTAGCTATCTTGTGTTTGGGTTTGACACATTTGTATCGATGAGGACGTTCTACCTAGGTGGTATGTAATTGCCAATAAGGGTCTGATAATGAATTAGTACCATAGTTGAGGGAACTCCTCAACGGCTAACAGTAGCTATCTTGTGTTTGGGTTTGACACATTTGTATTGATGAGGACTTTACACCTAGGTGTGGTGTGGTTGTCAATAAGGGTCTGATGATGAAGTAGTACGATAGTTGAGGGAACTCCTCAACGGCTAACAGTAGCTTTCTTGTGTTTGGGTTTGACACATTTGTATTGATGAGGACTTTACACCTAGGTGTGGTGTGGTTGTCAATAAGAGTCTGATGATGAAGTAGAACGATAGTTGAAGAAACTTTTCAGTGGTTACCAATACCTACCTTGAGTTTGATAATTTGTATTGATGAGGACTTTACACCTAGATGGGGTGTGATTGTCATTAAAGGTCCAATGATGAAGTAGTATGATAGCTAAGAGAAATCCTCAATGGTAAACAGTAGCTACCTAGTGTTTGAGCTTGAATAATTTGTATTGATGAAAACTGTGCATCTATGTGGGTTGTACATAATATAATATATTCTTGTACTAAAAAGTATAAAAGAAATTTAAAAAAGTACGTTTAAAAAAACCGACTTCAAAAACAAACAAAACCTAAAAAGCAAAAAATAACTATTATTGGCTATTTGCACTTATAGCTTACACACCCACTGATAGGTTAGAAGTCGGTGCCACAAACCCATATAAAGTATTAAGGTAATGGCCATAGGTATAATGTCTCTGTCGCGGAGAACCTAACGGGTAACCGGGGCTCCGGCTTGGTTTTTAGTCAGTAAGAGTCCCTTCCGCCTCACCCAGGCGGGAGCAGTCATTCGATGATTTTCCCCCCTTAAAAAAAAGTATAATGTCTCTATATATATATAAATAAAAATGAATTTCCGTTCGTTAGTCTCGCTAAAACTCGAGAACGGCTGAACCGATTTGTCTCATTTTGGTCTTGAAATATTCCTGAAAGTCCAGGGAAGGTTTAAAATGGTGAGAATAAAATTTTAGGCAGTACGATGTTTGCCGGGTCGGCTAGTGTATAATAAAATTGTAAACAGCTTAATAGATTAAGGATTTAACGAATGAGTTTGTTAAAAACTTGTGGCACTGACTTCTTACCTATCAGTGGGTGTGTAAGCTATAAGTACGAATGACCAATAATAGTTATTTTTTGCTTTTTAATTTTCGTTTATTTTTGAAGTCGGTTTTTTTAAACGTATTTTTTATTTCTTCAGGTTATTTAGTCTCTGCCTAGATCCACCAATTCCTGCTTTAGTTCTATCATTGAGCGAGATGTATGGGGGTTGTCTGGAATGTTTTCTGGGAGTGTTGAAAATTGGCAATTTTGTAGATTTTGATATGTTTTCTGATTTTTAATTTTGCAACCTCGTACGTGCACCGCCATGCGCCAGAGCACCGCAACGAATGGGCACCTATGAGATGCTTGCCTATGCCTAGGGCGCTCTCTTAGCTTCAATCAGTCTCAGCTTATACGTGTACCACACCAGTGACTGTCATTAAAATCATCACAAATCAAGTATGGACCCTTAATCCAGCAGTAGATTTCGTGTTAAAAAAATACTAATAATACTTACGGTTCCATGAATAACTTACCTGAATAGGACATGAAATTGCATGTCGGCACATTTTTTCAAAAAGAAATATTGTGCAAGAGGAACTTAGATGGGGACATATGTTCTTAGGTATAGGTAATATTGTAGATGACCTAATTATTGTAGAAAGGTGACCTAATTATTGTAGAAAGGTGACCTAATTCAATCTAAATATTTCGAAGATATTTGTGTATCGATGGAGTAGGTCCTAAAGGCCTGAGGGCTTAGTACGTATTTGTTTTATGTTTTTTTTATATATACAACATGTAACGTAATTAACGCACACCCTCAAACACCCCAATTAGAATATTATGTTACAATCATAATACATACACAAAATTTTTAATTTAACATGTATATGCATCCTTACTGGTCTTGTCATAAGGTTTATTTTTCTTTATTTTATATTGAATGATAGAATTTGTATGAATACAAATAAAACTGTGATTTTAAAAGTCTTATTGCTTTGACTTACGGTCCATTTCCATTTGTTTTAACAATACAGGGTTAATATGACAATAATTTCCGTAGTTTTAATTATTTTTGGGATAAAAATTACCTATACAAAAAATTATATAAATCGATTCAGTTTACGATTCTGAACAAACTATTTTAAGGATGTGCGTTATTTAAATTACATGTTGTATATTTGAAAGAAATTTAAGTTTTATAATATTGTAGTCAGATAATTAAAAGCCTATTGATTTTGTGACAAAAACAATGCATGAAATGACTCTTGTGTTTGTTTGGCCAAGCTAATTCGAACTTAAACAAAATTATTTACTGAAGGCAAAGACTATCCCTATATGACTATGGAAGGCAGAAATCTCTAAAGGTGCTTCCTCACCGGGAGCATTCACGTGTAATGTAACATTATAGATTCTACTTTGAGCATTACATTACAATAATACCTTCCTGACTAACGAGCATTTGCATGTAATGTAACATATAGATTCGACTTTGAGCATTTCATAGCAAGATGTCAGACATTGATGTTACAAGTTGTATCAAGATTTCTTTTTCTTTATTTTTCTTTTTAAAAAAACGTTGCCCCACACTAGGATTATCTCCTGTGTCGTGGGTGCGTTTACAAACATACAAGTTCACATACACAATGACACCCAGACCCGAAACAACAATTTGTGGATCACAAGATATTACACATTGTATCATTACAAGGTGCGCATTGTAATGCTCGGTTCTCCTCCTTCACTGATGTAATGCTCAGAGGTCTTAGTACGAGTTTCTTTTACGTTTAAAATAATCGTAGCGAATACGCGTTCGGCGCCCTGATTGGCCGGACTCCAATGACCAAACCAATCAGAGGCCTTAGTACCTACCTGTTTCTTTTACGTTTAAAATAATCGTAGCGAATACGCGTTCGGCGCTCTGATTGGTTGCTTCATTGGCGCTGGCCAATCACAGTGCCTAACGCGTACTCGTACTCGTACTCGCCTCTGAGCACAGAGGGCCAACCACGAATAAGTATCGCAATCGTAACGTAATAGTATCGAGGGCGTTCGGCGCTCTGATTGGCCGGCTCAAGTAAACCAACCAATCAGAACGCTTAACTCGCTCGATACTGTTACGATACGAATGCGATAGTTATTCGTGCTTGGCCCTCTGAACGCCGTCTCGTTTCGATTACTTTAAACGTAAATCAAACTCGTACTAATCCTTCAGATCTGTAACGTTACATTACACGCAAATGCTCCCGGTGAGGAAGCACCTTAAGAGATTTCTGCTTTCCATGGTCATATAGCGATAGTCTCTGCATTCAGTAAATAATTTTGTATAGTAATAAGAATTTTTTTAACTCCTTACAGACATACATAACTTCACGCCTGTCTCCCATGTAACCAAGCAGAGACTATCGAACGCCAATTAAAATTTAAACTCTTCCTCTACCAAAAACTCGTCAATAGTGTCGGAGACATTACTTGGAAAAACCAGAGTGTTAGCACGAATAATTATCGCATTCGTACGTATTAATATCGAGCGCGTTTGGTGCTTGAATTGGTTGATTCATAAGAGCCGGCCAATCAGAGCGCTCGATAATAATACGTACGAATGCGATAGCTACTCGTGCTTGGCACTCTGAACAAATTCTACATTTCTTCTAATATTATCCTCTTCCTCCCCCCCAATTAGGTCAAAATATATCATAATAGACTTAAGACATTCTAAATTAAATATAAAGGAATTTATGTATAGGGTAAATACATGTCAAAAGTGAGCTTTATTGGCAAATGTTTGAATAGTTAAATAATATATAAAGTTGATTGAAATCAGTAGTACTTATCAATAATAGCGATGATGACAGGGTATGAAAATTAAAAATCGGAAATAAGGTCTTTAATAGAGTTAACCCGTCGAGCGTCCGCGTTCCTTATGATCCAACGGGTGCACACGTGACATTTGGAGCATTTTTTCTTATGATCCACCGGGTGCTCATAAGGACGCTCGAGGGGTTAAGAGCAGTGGTCACCGATGACCGCTTGAGAAACTTCATTAGTAACGATTTTGTTCGGAAAACAGTAGCTTAGAACTGGTTTAAGTATCCATTCAATGACTCTGAATAATAACAGTTAATACTAATATTGAAAATATTCTATACGATAGTTGAAAGTTAGACAAATTCAATACTTTTATTGAAATGTCAAAAACGATACTTTTCTACGAATTTTGTATTGGATCGCAACTTATGACGTCATCATATTTCTGCGTCAAATAGCATACTTATTTCCTTAAAAATTAGCGAGAAAAAATCCAAAGGTAGATAAATTGTCAAATCAATGGATGAGAGTATGATTATTTTTTAATTATGAAAAGTTGAAACAATTGATTTTAAACCTAGAAAACTAGACAATTTGCCTCAAAAACTCGCCTCCAACATGTCTGAACACATCATCCCTAGCCGAAAAAAAACATTTATTTCATTATTTCCCTTTTATTTTCTTATTATTAGTTATACATAAAACTACTTACTGCGACAATTTTGAATTATCAGTCTTCTATCAATGTCTTAGGGTTTATATTACTTTGAATATTATTGTAGGCTGAATGATGGCAAACCGCCGGTACAATATACAAACAAGGTGTAGTTTTGAAACCGTGGCATTTCTCGGGGGCATGTCACAGAAGTCGTAAAGGTTTAATGTAAGAGAAAATTCGAGCCAATAGTTAAAAATACGGCTATAATGAAGCGTTTAAGTTCGACAGTATTTCAGAATAAGCGACAGCAATGTTTCTTATTGGAGTTTTGGAATCAGGAATAACATCAATTACGTGTTTGAGTTTGTGTGTGTTAAGCCGCGTTATAAAGCTAGTTACAAGACGGCGACGTGTACTTGGCACTTACGGTTTTCCGTAATTACAGAAAAATGAAAAATATTTACCTACAATTTTTTTTATTCATTCGGACTTATTTTGATATCCGAGTTACCTCTTAGAAAATGACGCGGCTTTAAAACATTACATGGGGGATATTACATGTATGTATTAGTCTGTATAACATCACTATTTAGTAAGTAGTGGCCCCCTCACTATAATCTATCTATATCTATATTCTACATTTATATAATATTATAATGCTTTTTTGTTTGTTTGTTTGAACGCGCTAATTTCCGAAACTACCAGACCGATTTCAATAATTATTTTGGTGTTGGATAGCCCATTTATCGAGGATGGCTATAGGCTATTAAATATCACGCTACGATTAATAGGCACCGAGCAGAGCGAGTGAAACCGCGCGGAAGTAGCTAGTGTATCATGTAAGGTAAGACACTTGTCAATAACGCCGCTGTCTACCCGTCATGTACACGTTGCGCCCTGCACATTATTATAATAAATCCAAGTAAAATAAATCCGACTATAATTTATCAATCCACCAACATAACAGTCACTACAAATTCTATGTAAAATGACAGAGACGGCACGATATTTAAGTAAAAGTTAAAATTGAGTAAACTTACAGTATTTGAGCATTAATCAGCCATTTTATCAAATAGATGTATTATTTTGCATGCAATATTAAACCTAAATGAGCACACAATAACATTCAAAGTAATACAACTGACATTATATTTATCACAGTTTAGAAATATTTGTCATGAAGAATAATCCTAAATAATTTATTTCTTATTAAATATATCACAGCTCATTTACTATAGCATAAGTTATAATAAAAGCATAAACACTGTAAATAGCTTAGAATATTAAACCAATTTATCGAGAAACAATAATACTGACCTTTTCAACTTTTTCAAAATTCCTCGCTTTCATCTGTAATCAAGAATAGTTATTTATACATTAACCGCTTGAATGCACAGATATGAGACACAATAGAAAATACATTGTGTCTTGCGTGGATCCGCGTTTAGACACAAGAAAGGTTAAAACTATTTAACATTAGTTTTACTGTCTTATTAATATTATAAATATGAAAGCTTGCGTGTTTGTATGTAAGTTACTTCATCAAGTCAAAACGGGTGAAGCGATGGTGTTGAAATTTAGAATAGGAGTAGATAAAGGTCTAGAATAATACATAGGCTATGTTTTATATCGTAAGACATACTAAATTAACTAAAAGTCGTGGGTTTCTTATGTAAATATACTGAGAAATGCTCTACTATTTCCGAACTTCATGAGCAGCGTGCCATTCCTCTGTGGTTCAAAACTATTAGAGTATTTCTCAGTATATTCACGTGAGTAACCTGCAATTTTTTGTTTACAAATAGGCTACTTATTATCCCACAAAAACGCAGGTGAAGCTGCTGCCAAAAGTTAATTAGAAATAACAATAAAAAATAACATAAGAATTCTGCCTATGCCACTTAATAACAAGTATGCTACTTAATAATATATATAGGTAGACTAACTTAAAACCATCAGAATCTAAGAGAGTGAGGGTTAGTGATAAAACCTACCTCCTGTTCAATATAAATCTTCCAGTATCGGCCCGTAGTTGGGAATGCATTGATCAGCTTCTCATACATGGGACGTACTTCATTGATTGGTCTCGTTTGGGCCTCACGGATGAGGAGCGACCAGGAATCCACATCGTAAGTATTAGCTTCGACGGCACGTTGAGCTCGGCTCAGTCTTTCGTTACCCCAGTCCTATAAAAATGGAAGTTTTTATTAAAAGGTGACGTTATCTTGGAACCGAGTTAGTTTTACTCATTTATTTGTATTCTGACTCATTAGAAGGAGGCAGATAGATGGATGGGTGCTCGCATGTTCAATTTTAAAGCAGTAAGAATTAAAGCTAAAGCAAAGGATAATAAATGAAGTTTTAACGACACCGAAACCTAAATAATACAAAGTTCAATGTTTTCGTTCTAGGATATTAACTCGTCGAGTACCGGTTTTATAGACACAATTAAAGAACAATAGGTCGCGGTCACCGGTGACCGCTTGGTGTTTGACAGTTTAAATGTACAAATGATGATAATATTTTTAATAGAAGAGTACATATAAACTACTAGCTACTTCCGCGCGGTTTCACACTCTCTGCTTAGCTCCTATTGGTCGCAGCGTGATGTTTTATAGCCTATATAGCCATCCTCTATAAATGTGCTATTCAATACAAAAAGAATTATTCAAATCAGACTTGTAGTAACGGAGATTGGCGCGTTCAAACAAACAAACAAACAAAAAAATAAACTTTTCCGCATTATATAATAGGATATAAGATTGAATCGTGAAAATTTAATGTTTTGAATAGAAGAGTACTTATAAACTATCAAATCATGAACATCTAGATGTTTGGAATAGGAGAGTACACATAAACTATTGAATCATTTAAAAAAGCAAGTAATTTATAATACTCAATACTTTACTGTAAGAATACATTGTAAAATACAACAAGGAATCATAATGTATTGTATTTTACAACAGTTGACATTGTTAGAAAGTAAAGACACAATTATGTACCCTGTCGGGCAGCAAAAGTAGTTTTTTATAGAGAGGATAAAGAGCACTTTTATGTTAATAATATTAATTTTACTTATTTATACTTATAATTACTCATTTAATAGCTTACAATTTCAGTATTTTCTTCCACAGTTGTCATTTTTGAACCGTATTTAGGTTATGTCGGCAAGTATATAGTGAACTGAGAAGTACGAAATAATGAAGGTGTATGAAAGTAAATTAATGACTGTTTTATACACTATTCATTAATTATAAAATGAACTTATAATAATACAACATATAATATTTTATTGAAACACAACAGACGCCACACATCAAAGAATGAAAATGAATATATGAATGAACGAAAAGAAATTGCTAATTGAATGAAAAATGCTGTCATCATCAGTCATTATCATGTTCAGTCTCTCTCTGATCTGATTTATGCATCAAAGACCTTTAAGAAAGAATATATTCTATTTTATGCTAAAATTGATGCACTCTTAGTAATAAATGGCCTAAAATTTATAACAATTTAAAATAATTTCGTATAATTATTTTCATTATCCACACTAAACGGGCAAGAAAAGTTCCGATATGATTTTTAATCTATCATTTTTTTTACGAAATGACATTTCTATTTGTTTGACATTTGTGTTTGTAAGCCGAACTGAGGGAAGGCGGTTACTGAGTTTTACATCAAAATAAACAAAAATGCTGTTCTATTCCTTCTTCAAATCGCTGGTGGGGAAAGATGTAGTAGTGGAGCTGAAGAACGACCTCAGTATATGCGGTACATTGCATTCTGTTGACCAGTATTTGAACATAAAACTGTCGGATATCAGCGTGATTGATCCTGAGAAATATCCTCACATGTTATCAGTGAAGAACTGCTTTATCCGTGGTTCTGTGGTACGTTACGTGCAGCTTCCAGCAGATGAAGTCGACACCCAGTTACTACAAGACGCAGCGCGTAAAGAGGCCACAGTTTCTACAAGATAAAAATCATAACCTCTTTAGTTGATTATGGTGTTTTTGGACTACAAAGTGCGTGTGTACATACTAATTTAAGTATAAACTTCTCAATAAAGTCGATGTGAGCTTTTGGTAACAATTAATCTTTTATTTAACCTTTCTTTTACAGTGTTGTTATACCTATCTATTATTTATATATTTATTTTATAATCTCAGTGGTAGTACGGAGCCTGGAATTGTGCCCGGTATATGGCAATAGGCTCACCCCCTATTACATGGGACTCATAACATAAACAGTGAAAAGTGGGTGTTACATTGTAAAGTGGCATAAAGTGCCGTAATGTGCACCTCTGCCTACTTAATTAAAAGGCGTAATGTTATGTTATGTTTTCAGCCCTGATCATTCCACTGCAGGGCAATGGCCTATATAGTAAAATTTAAGTTGTACTATAATTACAACATTAATTGTGGTGTATAATTATTATCTGTTAGTTCAAAGATAGGCAAAGTATGTTCTACCATCACCCATCACACAGCAAAGTGATATATTTGATGAGAAATGCTAGGTTTAAAACAAGTTGGATAACTTTAATAGCTGTCAAATTGATCTACTGCACAGCACATGCTACCATCCGTGCGTCACTACATGGGTGCCCACTGAAAATCAGTGCTGGGTAACCTGTTCAATACAGAGACAGTAACCATTGGTTGGCTACTGAACCTGATGGAAACAGAAGATGTGGCTTGGTAACTGTGTATGTAATCTTACACTATTATATAAGGCAGAAGAGTTTGTTTTTTTTGTTTGAACACGCTTATCTCTGTAACTACAAGTCTGATTTGAATAATTCTTTTTGTGTTGGATAGCACATTTATCAAGGATGGCTTTTTTTTTAAGGGGGGAAAATCATCGAATTACTGCTCCCGCCTGGGTGAGGCGGAAGGGAGTGTCAGACTCTTACTGACTAAAAACCACCCCATTCCTTCTGCTGCACGTCGAGCCGGAGCCCCGGTAACCCGTTAGGTTCTCCGCGACTCCGAATCGGCATCGGCCCTATTGGGCCCCATCTGTGGTGGTCTGATGGCTCTTTGAGGCGCGCGCGGAACGCGACGCGCCTTACGCTCGGGTCTGTTTCTGGTCGGACAGGGAGCCACCCATGCTCGCCGTCCGCAGGCCCGCGCTTACGGTGGCCGGAGATCGTCCCGCGATCCCCGACGCCCGGTGTGTCCTTTGCGACGGCTGGGTTGCGAGGAGGCAGCGCTTCGCTGCCTCACGCGTCCCGCCTCCTCCTTAGCTAGCATGACTGCTTCGCAAAAGGAGGAGACGGCATCCCAGTCCCCCTCGCTCCGCATCATGGCCTGCACTAGGCCCGGACGCGAGAGGTCGCCATCGCCGATCACTTCCCTGAGGGCACGGCGGTGCTCAGCCCACGCAGGGCATTCTCCCACTGTGTGTTCCACCGTGTCCTCAGGGCGGTCCTCGCAGTGATGACACCCGGGCGTTTCCTCCCGCCCCATCAGACACAGGTACCTCCGAAACTTCCATGTCCGGTGAGGACCTGCGTCAGGCGGTAGGTGAGGACGCCGTAGCGTCTCTCAAGCCACTCCTCAAAGAGGGGTCTTACCGCTGCAATGGCAGCGAGCCCAGCCCTCGGTTGCGACAGTCGTTGCTGCCATTCCGCCATGAGATCGCGCCGGAGCTCATCCCGCCACGCACTTATCTGGCGCGGCAGCGGAGTTTCGCCCCGGCGACGTGCGTCCGCGCGCATGCGATACACGCGCGCGAGCACCTTCGCCTCCAGATCCCACGGCGGTAATCCGGCAAGTTCGCCGACTCCCCGGAGATCGTGCGGTATCCGCGGATCATTCGGATCGCCATGACCCTCTGTGACATGAGCAGCGTCCGAGCGGGACGCCGCAGCATGTTCGGCGCCCACACAGGGGCGCCGTAGAGGGCCATGGACCGCACGACCCCGGCGTATAACCTCCGGCAGGAGGCGTTTGGCCCCCCGAGGTTGGGGAGGATGCGTTTGAACGCAGCCCCCGTCCTCTCCAACTTTGGAGCCAAACGTCGGAAATGCTCTATGAAGTTCCACCGACTGTCGAGGACGAGTCCTAGGTACTTCATCGTCGTCTCGACGCCGATTGTAACCCCTCCCGCCGTTATTTGGGACCCACCCGGAGGTGGCGCGTTCCCGCGGCCATGAAAGCACATGGCCTCGGACTTGTGGAGCGCCACCTCGAATCCCAACTGCCGGATTCTTTCAACGACTGTCGCAACCGCTGTCGCCATTAAGTCGGCCGGCGCTTGGTGCGACCTCCCGTGCGCTAGCACCAGCGTGTCGTCGGCGTAGCATATTGTGCTAACGCCGTTTGGGAGGTCGGTGCGCAGCACCCAGTCATAGCCGATGTATCTCTCTGTAACTACAATTTTGATTTGAATAATTCTTTTTGTGTTGGATAGCACATTTATCAAGGATGGCTATAGGCTTTTAAACATCACGCTACAACCAATAGGAGCTGAGCAGAGCGTGTGTAATCGCGCGGAATTTAGTATAATAATAGTTACTGTCTCTATACTGAGTCAATATTTTCTTACTTGCAAAGTAAGTTGTTCAGACAGTTCTTTGCAAACAGACTACAATTTTGTCCATTTTGCACCAATTAAAGTAAAGATTTGGCTCCCCAAGCTAGTATGTTTATTTATATTTGGTGGGCTAATGTTTGAACACTATCTCGCCTGGTGGGAAGTGATGATACGGTCCACTATGAAGCATGTCGATGTATAAGCAAGTCGGGCCTTGAAGACACCCAGGTCATACCCTTCAGGAAAAACAGATACCACTCCTTAGCAGTACCCACAAGGAAGCTTGATGCGATGCGCTTTGTGTGTGTGGGTGGTTGTTGTGTTTGAAACCTGTAGGTATCACTGTGCTCTTTTCCAAGTAACATGTATGTAATAATATTAAATAATTTAATTTGATTATCCTTTTTATTTATTTACCATACTTGTACATTTTTAAATATACAATTTTAAAAAATATTTAAAAAGCTGTAGCCCACCAGTAACAGGAGAAATCCCATCTACTGGCACTCGAGTGGTAATTTAGCTAAATAATAAGGACCTTTTAACTGGCGAGTAAAACTCATTCTGGCCCGTGTGAGGAAAGCCCTAATTATTCAGCTGGAGTGGCATTGAAAGAAATACAGGATAGCGATATACTTTGTGGCAAATGTGGAATATTTTAATCCAATACGGCTGCAGCAATTTTGATACATTTTCAACATTAGTTTAGGACTCTACATTGTTCTTCCTGCGTGAAATGAAACGTATGAAGCTCTCTTTTTGAAGTTTTTTTGTTTTGCTACAGCAGCGCCATTTTGATTGTCATCGTATAAATTTTCTACTAAATTGGTAGAAAACAGCACTTTACTGAGTAAGTGAAAGAAGTGTCGTTTCTTTTTTGCATCGGACTAAAGATGTATTTTTTTTATAATATGTCAAAAAATATTCAACCTACCTTGGTTACCACTTAAGATCTTGAGTGGCAAGATCCGACTTAAGAAATATGGACTGTAAAATGTAAAATGTTATTATTGTTAGTGTTAGTGATACTGCTTTAGTTCACAAAAATCTGATAATTCGTATACTTTTGCAGGCAAAAATACTCTATGAGATTTTTTCACCTTTGGATTTTCTTGCTGTGTTCCAACGTTGAACTAAAACACACCTGCCTGTGATACTTGCAGCAGAGTAAATAATTATATTTGTCATCAACCTCGTAATTTCTATGGGTTTCTTGTCGGTTGACTAAAGGTCTCTATATTCAACAAAAATTGGGCGCTGGCGCTCTCTGATACATTTTAATTTGCGACCGTTACGTCGCCTTCTGTGTGTGAAGATTACAGTAATTCTCTTTTTTGTAGAGGAGGCTAATAGTCTAGCATTGAACACTCACTGGCTTTTAATGGTGTGATGAGTGATGAAAACATAAAACTGAAATCTTATTAGCTATCAGATCCATGATAGCAGTGAAGAATACTTGAATTAGATATTTAAAAAAACTTCTAAATTAGTTCTTAAGCTTGAAAGCATTCATCATACTAACGTGTTACTGTAAACCCAATCAAAACCTACCATAGAAGGCTCTATTGAACAGTAGAAATCATAGCAAAAACCCTGGCAACCTCACTCTCATTTCATTCAACTTTTCTAAGCTTTTCGCCCTTCGCGTTTGGTATTCGCTATTCGCCACTTTGCCCGCTGTATTTTGTAAAACTATCGTCATTGTTCTTTATTGTATAAACTGAAAATATTTAATTACTCGTCGGTTTACGTCGCGAGTGATGCCTAGTGCCCGTTTGATTTCGTTTCATAAACAAAAATACAATCGTTTTTATCCTGTGTTGTCTAACATGTGATTACAAATGTAAATAATTAATTAAAATTATCGCACAAAATGGACGTGAAAGGTTCTAATCGTGGGTGTAATGAGTGATTACTTTGTTATAGTTGTGTTCGCAAATATTTTGTGAGTGTGAGAGTGTATTTTTTTGAAGGATTTTGACATTCCCCGTCTTCAGGCTAACTGTGGTGTCGTGCAAGTAAGTTTGTAATTCAATGTTTATATACGAAGAATTGATATAGTCTTGTCGGAGCCTACATCTGTTTGCAATATGTGAGTTTAGTGAGTCACTCGTCGGCAAAAAACGTTATATATTATGTCTTATTTTCTTTATGTGAATATTTTAATGTTGGTGTACAATTAGCGTCAATTACGTTGATTCAGCGGTTGCGAGAGCATTCATTTGTTTTATTTGGGCTTTATTTTTAGCCTGTATCGATGTTTTGTCTTTCTACTGAAATGTTTGGTTTATTGTGAGCGTAAAACTCTTGGCAGTGTTGGGTAGATTCTATAAAATTCTTCCGTAAATTTATTTTACGGTTAATCGCGTGTTGGGATAATTTTATATTTAAAACTTTTTGCAACTTTTTGAGGCAGTCATTACACACATTTTTAAATATC